GAGGCGCATCGAACCATCATACCAGGGCGTCCCGGATTGGCCTTGTGGTACCTTGGGGTGTACCCCCTCTTTCCTTGTTTCAACAATAAAATATTATTTAATATTATTTAAATTTATTTAATATAGAAAATATTATTAGAATCGATTTTAAAAGATGAAAGCTGGTTTATTATTTAATTTTGCAAGACTCCCTTAAAGCTAATAAAAAATCGAAGAGTCGTATGTATTTATTCAAAGAATTTAATTAGAGGGAGAGCGTCTAAACAAGCAATTGCAATGGCATTTTACATTAATAAATTCTTTAAAAAACAAATTTGTCTAATTTAATATAGGTAATTACTTACTCCTCAACCAGTCGGACTGCTTTAAGTGTCGTTTCCAAAAAGTAGTACCTTGCTAGAAAATTTATAACTTTTAAATAAGTCGGTCAAAAATTCTGATTTTTTGGTGATCCATAGATAACACTTCCAACTATAATTTGGCCAAAAGATAAAATTTTTAACTGCATTTTAAAAAAAGTTATGAATTTTTTCATAAATAGGGAGAATGATAAGCGGGTAGCGGCGCCAAACCCTTTGCCTAGGGTCAAGTCGGCGCTGCCGCTACCCGGGTAAACTTACCATTTTATTTATTCTACGGGCCCTGATTTCCATAAGACACCTCAATTTAAGTCTATTTTTTTCACTTTGTTGTCTATTCTTGGTTAAGCAACCCACCTTAATTTAACAAACACCTTACTCCATATATAATTTTTCAATCCAAAGTTATATTATAGCGAGTTTCAACTGAATAATTATATTTTAGTTAAAATTCTACGCATTTTACTTTATCTTTCAAAATGAACATGAATACAATTTTTGTTATTCTCGTAATTCTAATGTTTTGCATTGAGGAGAAAATCTGTATGAATACAGGAGGGAGAGGAGAGAGAAGAGGAGGACGAAGGGGAGAAAGTCGCGGAAAGGCTGTTCAAGTAAAAGAAGGTGGGGATATTTAAAATTAACACCTAAAGTTGTTTAGAAATTAAGAAAAAGATTGCTTTAGTCGACGTCTTGGACGTTTCGAATATGTTTCTAACCCCACAGTTGGTGTTCTACCGACCCAAATTTTTCTTGCATATTAATTGCTATTTCTAAAAATAGTAAGAGCGAGGTGAAAGTTTAATCCCATGCAAGCTTCGATCTTGCGACCTCCTGTTAGTTCACCTTCTCTTTTAATAGATCTTTAACCCCCACCTAGTGAGCGTTTTAAATGCTAGCCAGCTGGATCTTTCTCATCCTTACAAAATTAACTTCGAAATCTCTGCTTGTGTAGTTAATTTAATAAAATATAAAACGTAACTATATGTTGAGGATTTTTTCATATATTTAATTATTTAATTTTAATTATTTTTAGAACCATCGATGGAAACACGCGTTGAAAATGGGCTAACGTTCTGTCAAATGTTAACAAATGAAGTTCACTGTTTTCGCAAATGTCTTGAAATTATACGAGAGAATAGACAAGATTATCAACAATTACAAACAAATTTTCGTCAAAACAATCATAATCTTGCCAATCTATACAAAAATACTCGAGGACTAAATGCTACAGAAGATGATGAGGAAATTAAAAAATTCATTGAAGATTCAATTACAAATTCATGTTCTAATTTTGAAGGAGATTCAAAAGCTGGTTAAATCAATGGATAACCGTTATATAAAATATTTATATGAAATTATGGATGAAAAGAACCAAACTCTGGAATACTATTTGGGTAAACTTTACCAGGAAATAGGTACTTTATCACAAATAAATCCTAATCGAGGTGAACAATTGATGCAACAATTAGAATTCATTCGAAATCAAGCAGAAAATTCTGCCGGCCCCTCACATCTTCAAGGTAAGCATTAAATGTTGCAATTTATATCTCTTAGGGTTCGGGCTAACCAGAGTGGGCCGGAATTCCGACTTTTGAGCCAGTTCCGATTTCCGGCTCTTCCGATTTCTGACACCTCTGACTATTCCGCCCACTCTTGGTCTATTCTAGCGACTGACCGAATAACCCATAATATGATAACGAGTTTATCCGGATAGTAAATACCAGAATGACGGAGGTAACAATAGGCTTGAATAACGAAGTACATGAAAACATTCTGGTTCCTTCTAAAAATTCATTTATGTATTATTTGAGATATTTTCATCGGGTCCCGCACTTTTTTATATGTACCCTCGTTTTGTTGATCTTCAAAATTGTTAACAAAAATAAATTTATAGGGCAAAACCGCAGTGAAGTAATGTATGAAATCTTTGGCACTCCATCAGATTCTAATCATAGTGGAGGATCTGAAGTTAACCCGAATGATTCAGATGAAGAATGAGCAATCAAAACGTGAATTGGGGAAAGAATTAGTAGAACCTAAAAATGTTATATATTTCAAATGGGTAATCTTTTGGGGTATGGCATGATTCAGAGCAGGGGTGAGCGCTTTGTGTTTTTCACTATACCTTCTAGCGCTCACCCCTGAATCAGAGAAGGTGTGGGAATATAAAAATCGTTTTTCATGGGGTTAGGTTAATTTCTAAACTATGCATTTTCCTACAATTATTTATCTCTATTGGCTATAGCATACTTTTTAAAATATAAAAAAAATTTTTAAAATTAGAAATAGTTTTTTCCTTCTTGAGCTTTACATTTTAAATCTTTGGTTTTCATTTCATCTTTAAAGTAAAACCATTTTACTGTGTTTTTTTTATTTTTGGATTTTTTCGTTTTCTCAATCAGTTAGGATAAAATTTCATCTTGCTGTTTCTATTAAATTTTTATGTTTTTATTTTAAAATTACATATATTAAGTAGAAAGATTTTTTAGTTTTTCATTTTCGCTTGAAAATTTGTTTTTTTTCTTTCCGTTTCGTGTTTTATTGAAAAATATTTTTCGTTTTCGTTTTGTAAATTGACAGTTTGTAAGAAAATGTCGAAGATACATTTGCATCTAATCTTTAAAAATGATTTGAAGGGATTTGATGAGATAGACTGGAGTAAGGTTGATTTGATTAGATACCGGAGGATTAAAAAATATATCAGGGAATCTTGAAAGGATATGGAGCTAAACTTATCAATAGCTTTGAGTCTACCCATGAAGACATCTATAAGAGGACTTTCAGAGTTGTCGAAGCAGGCTTAAATGATATGACGAAGCTTTATGTTTCTCTTACTACAGCCAGGCATCGGAGAGATTTCAAACAAGCCCCACAAATCTTTTACTATATTATGGGATGGGGTTATTAAGGATGCCCAATTTATTTAGAATAAATTTCCTTAATAAATTTTTCATCAACTTAAAATAAAATAATAAAACAATAATGTTAACAGAAAAAAGCATATTTAATTTAAAGTCAATGAGACAGCTTTTTTGCTATTTTCTGTACACGCTCACACGCTTATGAATTTTCAATTTAGCTTTCTTGCTTTTATGTTTTTTCAAAGTATTTTAATATTTATAGTCAGCCTTTTTCTCACTTTTACTTGGTCCTTTTCTTTTGTTTTTTAAGTTGTATCAATAGCATGTCTATATTATTCATTCATTTTTCTCGAATATTTTGAGGTCTTTATTAAATTTTATCTGTTATTGTACATTTACAGATAGATGAATATGATGTGGTAAAGGGCAGTCTCTTGAAGCTCGTACCAAAATTCGTACTTGTACTTATACGTGTGAAGAGTTACTAGCCCTATATGAATTACGAATGATCAAGTTTTAAATTTAATAACTCAGTCTAAGTACTGTCATTCGAATAATGTTGAGGCCTTGATTTTTCGAACTGGAGGATGAGATAAAAATGTAGCCCTGAGCATCACTAACTATTTTCTTCGCTTCACAAAATTTTTCCAAGTTTCAGCGTTGATAAACATTAAATAATGACTAGTAATTTTAAACAATAAACAATCCTTTATTTACTTATTTTTACTTTGTGCCCTAAAATACCCTTTGTACTCACATTTTTACCTCATTTCTTTGATTGTTTTTGCCTTAATTATATCGAGAAAAAAGGGCAAAATTCTTTCCTCTAATTTTGTCTGGATTTCCTTTCATTTTTATAGAAATACTTTTATAGAAATACATTCCATTTTTTCTAATGATGTATCCTAAACAAACGAGTAAGAATTGAAAAATAAAGTTCGATTGAGGCATACTTGTTGTTTCCTGAATTTATTTTAGTCTCATCTTGACCTTTATAAATTTTTGTAAGTGACTTTAAAATTTCTAAAGATTTTCAAAGAAATGGATTTAAATATACCGTCTTTTTTCGATTAATTCCCCGTATATAATTAATTCCCCGTATATAATTAATTCCCCGTATTTCAGCACATCCCCGGAATGAGGAATTAAATATGAGCGGCGAATCGTTCGAGACGGTGAATTAATAAAGAAGCTAATATATGCCTAAGAATGCCTCCAATTTCATGTTAAATTAAGTTTTACGTACATCTCATTCACTATGTTCTTTTTTATTTACTTGTTTTACTCCTTACTGGGAGAACACACAAGATCAAACAAGGTTATCGAAATATACCGAAAATAATTTTATCTTCAGAGCTTATTGTTCGTGTATATTCATTTATTTATTATTTTTCTGTACCTTTTCATTATTAATAAACGTAAAAATTAATATTATGTAAACGTTTACCTATTATTTTTCAATTTTACTTGTGTAAACAACTAAAAAGGAAGGATTAAATAACGACAATTATTATTGAGTAAAAAGGAAATTTAGCTAAAAACTAATTTTGTTTTTAATCTGGCAAAAAGTAAATATACATATATTTATTTTTATATATTGTGTAGAAGAAGGCGATTTAATTAAATTTTAAAAGTAAGAGTAATTTTTGGCACAAGAATTATTTTAAGCCTCAACTCTTGATATTGTGTTATTATTATTTCGTCTTTTCAGGATACAAAATTTCGTATTTTTCAGTGTACGAAATTTCGTATTTTTTAGAAGAATTAATTCATTAGAATGTCCTTACACCCTACTACTAGCAGTGCAAAGGAAACAAGTTGTTCAATTCCCGGAATTTTCTTTATTGACATTGATGACAACGAAATAGACAGTCAGCATACATATGTTCGAAGAAGTTCTGTAACTACGCCTACGTCGACTGAAAGGGTAAGAAACATGTAATTAGATTGAGGCACTTGACGACATCCTTTAAGAGATTTTGCCGGAATTCCGTGTACCAAAAATTCTGGTTTTTAAGCCAAATAACTGGATATAAGTCCCGCTCTTCCTTCTGAAAAACAATACCGTTACGAGAGAACAGATTTGCAATTTTGCCTCTATCTAAAGAGAATGGGACAAAATCTCACTTCATTATATTTTTTTATAGGGCAAAAGGCCGCTATTCCCAATGAAAATGAACCAAAGCTATGAGCTGAGAAGAAGCTTTGATAATGTTGATAAAGATTTGTTACCTCTAAAAGCAGTTACTACAGAACATTTAGACCAAAAACAGCGCTATCTTTTATGGGTAAAATCAGCAAAGAGTATGTGCAGCACTATAGCAACTACATTCTCCCCAAAGATGAAATGGAAAGATAAGGGAGGCATGGCAAGAAAACGTTTTTAAATAATTTTAATTAAATTGAGAAAATTTTTTGAGATAAAGAAATAGTAGATAATGGATTAGAAAATGAGTCCATGGGGGTTTCTCAGCCCGTAGAGGTGTTTATTCGATTCTTTGAGTAGTTGAAGCATGTTTTGTTTCTATAAATTTTTGGCTTTCGAAACTAGGAAGGTATTCTGGGACTTAGCTTATTTTGAGACCTAGCTTAATGGCCTCATCTTTCGTCGTTCTAATAATGCTAACCAAAATTTACACCAATAACCAGGATATTGCTCAGATGCAGTCTGTACTAGGTCCCTAAAAGAGATCTATTTGGCTGTTTTTTAGGTTAAGTTCCGGACATGGGACAATTTTCAGAATCCAACACCCCTATTTACTAACATAAAAATGTTCACATTGGACTCTGTCCAAAAAATGTGCCAACAAAATTTTAATATTAAAATAAAACTTCTTTCTAAATAAATTTTATAAAATGACTAAAATACTAATTTTTAGAATTACTCTATCAATAATCACGAAGACAGCTTTTCTACTGGTCGGTATTCTTCTCTTCCAAATTTTTATAACAACCAAATTATTAACAATAAGAGAAGAAATACTGTGGAAAATCACTTGATTAAGTACACTAATAATTATAATTATCATCAAAGAATTAAGGTAGGCTAAATACTTATTTATTAAAGAACATGAACTCTTGTTCAAAAGGGCAAGTAATATCCAAACTCCATTGACCGAAGGTACTAAAATCAGTAGGTACTTTAAAATATTCCGATATGTCCACATGCCGCTTTGATATGTTTATAACGTGAATTTTTTAAAAATTTGAACCTTAACTTGCAAACCCAAACCAAATCCCCATTCTATAATTTTTAATTTGTTGAATGTTGCGTTTTTTAAATTTCCATCGAATTTAGGAAAACCTTTTAATTTTTTACATGTTTACCTTTTAATTTTAAAATAGGAGTAATTCTATTCCCTAAAAGAAAATTAAAACAAAAAATCTTTATTAAGTAAATTGTGTAGACATGCTAATTGTCAACCCACACACTTTGAGAGTTTTTATAAGTTTTTTTGGGCTTTTTAAAGCTTGGGACTGGCATTAAATGCCTCAAAGGCGTGCGCTAACCTGTCGTGCTTTCACCTTTTTTTGAAAAGAAAATTAGTTTTATTTCCTAATGAAAATTTAATTATAAGAAGCATTAATAATGAGTCTTGGCTAGTTTATTAATCGATAGTCGAGACTTATTAAATGGGGAATAATGTAAACTAAAATAAATACCTATAGTAATTCCTGCTAGTAGTAAACTCTCCTATCATTTTCGGGTTCATAGTATCATTTAAGTCTCTTGTTTACTAGGTTTGAACCCCAACCACGTCTAACATCAACTCGAACCCCTAGCTTTACGCCTTAAACCCGACCCTAACATTCGCAACCCAGACAACCCCATTCCCGAACATTTCGACCTCGAAGGTTTGGAGTAAACCTAATTAATATCATACCCTATTTAGTCTTGATAAGCTTCGCCTACTAAATCATGATCTACTACTCAAATACACATCGAACAGGAGACCTAATTATTTAGTCAATTCCCTTATCTTCTTTGTCTCGGCCTCAAGACTGAAATGTCGAAACTAAAATGCCCTCTACATTCCACCTTCCATTATTTTCATACCCAATTTCCCTTTAAACCTTACCCATTTCCCCGCATTTTTCAGTATTTGTCGGCACGCTCAAATTCCTTTCTGATGGAGTAATTCCGCGAGGCATCTTCCCCCTTTTTATTTGCCTTTTTTAAAAGCCAAAACGAGCTCTTGAAAAAAAATGTGAAAATAATACTCTAGTACTTACAAGAAAATAAAAGGTTTTTGATGGCTCCTTCCATTGCCCAAATTGATTAAAGGATTAAACAAAAACATTCATTTTTATTTTTCCTTTTTGTTGGTGCACTCAGAAAAAAAGGTGGCGGCCCCCGTCTCTTCTCAAATTTCACCCCATTTTTTACTCAAATAAAAGAAATGGCATTTTTTACACTCCTTTTTTAATAGTGTTTTTTTCATTTTCGTTTAAATCATTTTTTGCTAGTAAAAAATGTAAATTTTGGGTTTACATTCTAAATATTTGTGGATTTTTTAAAGATTTTTTTAAATAATTGCAGCTTGCCAACAAATTAAAAGATACCTCCTTTTAAAACCGAAAAAGCTTTTTCTTCAATTAAATTTTTTATAATTTTCAAAATATTTTTTAAAAAAATTATTTTTTGACAACTTATCTCTGAATTTACTAAGCAAATTTTTGGAGAGTTACAAAATAAGCTCTCCACACAAACATTATAAAAACAATGAATTCGGTACAAAACATTGAAATCAGTATAATTTTCTTAGATATTTTAAGCTTTTATATAATTTATTTATTTAATTTTTCCATATTAAGTAAACAATGGAACAATAAAATTAAGCATAATCTTAACATGCGATCTTTGTTAGTTTTCTTTTTAATTTCTTCATTTATTATTCCACAGATACAAAACTAAAAAATTAAAAAAAATTTTAGCTAAAATTTCAGAAATTTTTTTTCAATTATAATTAATTTTGACTTTAAATTTATCTATTTTCTTCCTCAACTTTTCTTATTTTTTTATAATTAATTTGAATTTTTAATCTATTTTATAGCAAATTCAATTCTCTATCGAATGATACCAAAATCTGTTTTCAAATTTTTTTTCTTAAAATTTTTGTTGCAATGGAACGTCCTTTTGTTTTTAATTCCGCTTTTTCCTTTTCAATTTTCCAAAAATTATTTTTATTTTGAGAGAAAGTGTTGCTTTTTCATTTTAATAGTAAAAGGCGAGAATAGGGCAATTTTTTCAATTTTTAAATGCAAAAAAAAACTTTGAAATTTCTTTCCTTTTTCTAATTTTAGTCAAACCATTTTTCCCATTTTCAATCTTTTTAAATACTTTTTACTCAATATTATATAAAAATAATGTTTTATTTTGATTCGAAAAAAAGGTCTGAAGTCCGCACATTTTGGTCGGATATTCGTGGATTTGCCGTGATCCGGCAAACTTGGGAATCTTGGAAGCGAAAGCGCCTAGTAATAACTGCCGAGTGGTCACATGTTCAATGATTGCCCGGTGTTTTTTACCTGTCTTTTCCTCAAGTAGAGCTTTGCATGCATTTTAGAAGGTTGCAGATTCGATTGCTCCTCGTTATCCATACTTTTGCTAAACACAAACTTCAAAACCCTTTAAAAAGTCGGAGATTAACCAAAAATAACTGAAAAAACAAAAAACATTCCCTTCAATTTCCCTGTTTTATTAAATTGATTTATTTAAAAATAATAATTTTAAAGCGCAACGAAACCTTATTTTCATGCTTATTCAAATCTTAGGGGGGAGAGGAATTTATAAATAATAAATAAGGACAAAAGTGCCTTTTCCCTATAAGCAAAAATGTTTATTAAAAGAATCATTTTAATAAATTATTTGTTAAATAAATACGGAAATATTTCATTATTTTGCTAAAATATTCTTAAAGCTTGCCCATAACTTTGTAAAAATTTTGTAAAAATTTTTCACATCATTTAAATCCAAGACTTTTTTAGAGTGAAGATTACACTCTTTCAAAAATAATAAAATAAGTAAGAAAGCATAAAACATATCATATTTAGTTCCAACCAAAATAAATAAAAGTAATAATGTATTTTTATATATTAAGTATAGTCAGTTGACAATAGAAAAAAATTCTCATAAATTTATTGTTTTAAATCCGGTCGTTCCTGCCAAATTTCTAACTCTGAGCTTTTGCATTAAAAGTTGACTGATATTATACCAAACACCTCAAATTATTTTCAAATTTAATAAGTTTTTTTTCTATATTCGAGGTTATCATTCTTTCGATTTCAATATTTTTAAACCTTTCTGATTGCAGAAAATAAAAACGAATGGCGCGAAGGGACGATCATTGCCTTAATAATTTATACAAATTTTTGGAATCAAATTTTAATATTTTTTATCCTTTTCAAATTTTTTACAATTAACTCTTGAAATTTTAAATTTATATTAGATTATGTTTAATTCAACACAAAAATCTAAATATTCCTTCTGTAGTTTTCGTCAAAAATTTTCTCGGTCTAATGATTCTGACGATTCCAAAGATGATAAATTTAAACAACACAACAGAAAAATGTCAAAAAGTGTTAGTTGTAGCGAAAGGGTGAGGAATTTTGTATTATTTCAATATCCACACGTTATTCGGAATTTTCGATATTATAGATAAGGCATTTTAGAGCGCTAGATACGCCCTCACATAAATATGAAAATAACCAGCCGATAGCACCATGATGTTGTGTAGCCAACATATTTAAATAATATTATAAACGTATTTTTGTATATTAAGTAATTTATGTATCTTTCACGGTCCTAAAATATTTTTAATTTTTAGGTAAAGTATGGGTTTGTAGAATAAAAACTCCCATTCAAACATAATCCACACTGCTTTAAAAATGTATTTTTAGTAATTTATTTTTATGAAATTGTGAGCGCATTGCATTAAAATTTTATATTATTCTGGATGGTCAAAATCGTTCCTTTCGCATTACTCATAGAGCGAAGGGAACATCCTTTCTTTAAAATTCGAGGAATCCCTCCAAATTAGATAACAAAAATAGAGTTAGATGCCAAATTTTGCTCTCTGATCACCTCTAAATAATTAACAAAATTGGAAACCTCAATCCTCATTTTAGTTTCATTTAACGGTTGCCCCCAGCAACTGCGCGCCCTCCCTCAAATTTTTTTCTCTTTTTGCATTCCTACAATTTTTTCTTTTTCAAAACGTTTTTTCCTCATTTTCCCCTTCGGCTGCTCCTTTATCTCCCCTTAAGTCAACATTTATTTATACTATTTGTTTTGTTTGTGGCAATAAGGGCGAAAGGGGAATAGGGAAAGAATGGGTTGGAAGGCGGAACAAGTTCAGTTGAGTCTTTACTCCATAACTCATGAAAGAGTGAATATTTTTCAATGTTTTTGGCACCATTGGATAGGAAATTAAATGCACTACAAGATATCAAAATATCAAAATTCTCTCCACCTAACGACAAAAAAGTTATTGTCTAAAAACTAAAATTTTTTCTTAAAAAATGTTGATTTTTCGGTACTATATCTATCATAACTTTTGTGTCGACGAGCCTAAAATTTTGATTTTTTGAAATCTTATAGAGTATTTAATTCTCTATCGAATGGTACCGAGAACATTGAAAAGTATACACTTCTTGAGAAGATATAGGGCCTGGACTCAACCATGTTGGGACTCAACTGAGGGAGTTAGAATTTAGTTAGAAAGGCTTAAAATAAAATAAAGTGACTGGAAAAAAGAGAAAAGAGAAGAAATGAATGGAATGCCAAGGAACGCTATTAATAAAGCCAAAAATTCTCATCTGGAATGAATAAATGAATTCCGCAAGGGTGGAGGGAGTTCGCAGTTAAAATGTCAGTTACAAAACTAGCTAAAATCACATTCCGTTGAGTAAAGCTAAGTAAAAACTAAAAATATTTTTTTCTATTTTAATTTAAAAAATATTTTTTCAACGTTTTGGAGGCAATAAAATTTAGTAACATTAAATAGACATTGATCAAACTTAGCAAAAAAGAAGTGTTCCCTTCGCTCTACTCGTAGAGCGAAGGGAACATCCTTCTTGAGGAGGTTATTTAGCCATTTTATGCCCCGATATAATTTTGTGAAGCAAAAACTAAATAAAATCCGCTATTTTAATTTAGAAAAAATATTTTTTGGAACCTCTAAGAGTCATAAAAACGATGCTGGATTGAAAGTTTTGTTATAAGCAGAACACAATTCCCTTCACCCTATGGCTAGAAAGAAAGGAGCATCTTTCACTAACTAATTTTTTCAAATCCTTTAATAAAGTCGCCCAAGATATCCGAAATCAACCCGAAAATTGAACATAGAAATCCTTGATCTTTCCTCAGAAACGCTGAAGCTATTTGCAAGCAAAATTCATATAACCTCCACCAGAGGTGGGTCGAAATTTCGAGTTCCGACGTTTTTTACCTTCCGATTTCCGAAAAAATTTTAATTTCCGAGTTCCGACTTTTGAGCCAGTTCCGATTTCCGACTCTTCCGATTTCCGACACCTCTGACTGTTCCAATCCAGTTCTGCTTCCATCCACAACGGCTATACAGCCATTAACCTAGCGAAATTTATTGTATCGTTATATTCGAATCCGTACTCAGTTCAACACCTTTAAAATCCTCCTTATTTTCCCATAAATATTTACACTTCTACAAGCTTTCTAACAATAATATTTACATTCTTGTATTGCTAATTAAATGACAAGTTTTTTCTTAGCTTTTATTTTCTCGCGCCCTTTACATGCCAAACCTTTTGTTTCCTCCCACGTTAAATACAACTTTTTTAGTCCAAACAAAATTGGAAGTAAAATTGTTATTATATGTATGTATTTATTACAATATTTTTTTATTATTAGCTTAAACTGCTTTCATTTATCTTAAATCTCTTAGATATACGTGAAGGGTATAATTTAATTTTTAAGGAGATTGTACACCTATTAGAGGGTTACTCGAACCCTCTTACAAAAATATCATTCTTGTTACATTTAGGCATGGGAACTCATCTGCCTATCGTGATACAGAGTTACCTATTCAAACAAGCAGAAATAATAAATTATATGTATATTTTGTAAGAGAAAAGGGGCTAGGTACAATTTTGATAAACACCTTTTTCCTAATCATTTCTGTCTCTAATATGTAAAATATAAGGTGTAGAGTGTTATGTATCGTCTTGCGGTGTGTCCGATACTAACAGAAACAAGACTTGACTAACAACAAAGTTTATCACAAGCAACAATACAATAGAAATAGGCGAGACTGTGCGTTGGCTTTGACTAGACTATGGGCTAACTGTAGACTGACTAACTAACTCCTCGACTACTAAAAGGCTTCGCCTTTTATACTAAGCCGCCACCCTAACACCTCCCTTCTTTAATTAAGTCGGGACTACGCTTCCGACTAGACTTGGTGGACTTCAAAAAAACTACTAGCCAACGCAAACAAAACATTGAAAATACATACAAAGGGCCAAAATACAATGTGAGCAAACAAAAAGGGGATATACAATAATTACAAACAAAAATTTACAAAAACAATATTATCACAATTATTTACTTCTTATTTACATTCCCTCTATTTCCGATCATCTTCCGTTCCAGTGCTCGCGTGCATTGGCTCATCTTTTTGCTTCATGTTTTCTTCGCTCACAAGTTCGATGTCCACGTCCTGCAATTCGTCTTCTTTCTGGAGGATCTGGATGTTCTTCTTAAAGATCGCTGAAAGTTTCTCTTTGTCTTCTGCCCCCAGACTTTCAACCGAGCTCGACCTTTGATCCTCTTTTGATTGACTTTTCATTGTTGCATCATCGAACCACTTTTTCTTTCGAATAAACCACTCCTCACGGCTGACTATGCTACGCAATGATGGCACTTGGACTTTCCAAATTTGCCCGACTTTGTTCATCAACTTCCCTGCTAACCACATTGTTTTACCACTACGATTCGTGTTTTTGACTAAGACTTCCATTCCATTTTCGAATTTATTCGTTCTTCGCCAAGCTTTCTTCTTTTGACTATGGAATGGTTTCTTCGATTCTTGACTATTGAATTCTTTATTTCGAATCGGCGTCTCTTGTATCTTGGACTTTGGGCTTCTCCAATCTTTCCACTTTTGACTTTTGTTTTGACTTCCTCTTGCAAAATATTGCGACAAGACTGGCGATTTTGTCCCGAATTTGTTTAACCACGGAAGTCCCATGATATTAATGTTTCCTTCGACTATGTGGACTTCTTCTTCCGAGGTTTTCCCAAATAACTCAACCTTGACCTTGACTTTGCCTTCTATCTTGAAGTTCGATTTGCCTAACCCGACTCCAGAATAATTGACTTGACTAATCTCAGGCTTGCCCAAATCGTTCCAGGTCGCTTCGGTAATACAATTGATTTGTGCCGCTGAATCGACAATCATCTCAACGTTTTTGTCGTTTAACTTGACTGACTGTGTAATCCATTTCTCTTTTAGCAGAATCTGTGTCGGATCGACAATATCGGCAATACACACATATGGACCTGAATTATTAGGGTCAATAGACAAATAATTAACTTCTGGGCGACTATTACGATTTAACCAACCTCTAGGGTATCTACAGAATCGGCTAATGTGTCCCCTCTTCCCACAATTATAGCACTCCTTCTGTCCATATTGTGGACGACTTGTCTGACTAAATTGTCGATCATTGACTTGACTATGTTGACGTTCTTCTCCTTGACTGAATTGATTCCTTTTGTCCTTTTCGTCTTTACTACTTTTCACATTTTGATTGACCTGAATAGTTTTACTAATATTATTCACCTCCACAGAATATTCAGGTTCAAATCTGACCTTTGACTGGTTATCCGCGAATACCTTTGCATCAGACTTATTTGCCAAATAGCTACGGACTTCCTCCATCAATGCCTTCAATGTGCATACTTCTGACTTTGAATATTTCTCTACGAATCTCAGACTGATTTGCCGGACATCTAACGCTTCCTCTGGAATGCCTGCAATGAACACAAGAATTTTACTTTCTTCGACTGTCAACGCCATTTCCGCCTTTTCACATTCTGCGTTTACTAGAGTTCCAAACTCAAGAATTTTTTCGATACAAGGGCATTTCATTTTAATGACTTCGAAACGTTTGACTAATTTGGAACGGGGATCACAGAATTCCTTTTTCAACTCTCCGACTAATTCCCCAAAGTCCATCTCAACTAATTCTCTGGGCAATAACTTTTGCGCCATCTTCGAATACTCAACTTGCCCTAACTTATCTACTAACAACCGGACTTTGACTTTTTCCTCTAAGGACTTGGCGTCTACCTCGAAGTAAGACTTATTTTTGAGGTACCATGACTCAAATGTGACCCCCTTTTCGATGTCTGCCTGGAACTCTGTAACTAGCGTCTTCAACTTACAGTACAAGTCTGTTGACTGTTTCTCCTCCGACTTTGGTTCCTCTGACTTTTTGCCTTTCATCATCTCCAGCATCTGAGCTTGCAATTGTTGCATCTGTTGTGACTGAGCTTGCATCTGAATTTGCGACTGCAGGAATTTTTCAAGAATTTGCTGATCCATCTGAATTGACTAATTATTTTACTACTGACTAATGCAAACTAACTTGAATTGTTCGAATAACTGCGACCGCGCCACTGTTATGTATCGTCTTGCGGTGTGTCCGATACTAACAGAAACAAGACTTGACTAACAACAAAGTTTATCACAAGCAACAATACAATAGAAATAGGCGAGACTGTGCGTTGGCTTTGACTAGACTATGGGCTAACTGTAGACTGACTAACTAACTCCTCGACTACTAAAAGGCTTCGCCTTTTATACTAAGCCGCCACCCTAACAATAATTACAAAATAAAAACTTATAAAAAATGTGATAAATATATAATATTGTGATAAAATATATATAAATATATATAAATATATATTATTTATATAAATATATATAAATATATATTATGTTTATCACGCTTCAGAGTAGCCGATGCAGATTATAGTAAGAGCAGTGAAAATTGAGAGAGGGTTAAGTGAGAGCTTTGATATATAAATGAACAAAACAAACAAAAATATGATGAAACAAAAAATATTAGAGGGTTAATCAACCCTCTTACAAAAATATACATAGTTGCTTTCAGACATGCGATTTCGTGAAACAAGGCTACCTATACAATCTAGATTAAATGCTAAATTTTATATGTTGTAAAAGAAAAGGGAGCTTAGTATATTATTAATTTTTGAGCACCTTTTTTTCATTGTCATTTCAATGCATAATACAATCTTGGAAAGGTGACATTTCAAAGTAGCCGATTAATATTATACATATATTTACGAGCAGTGATAATTGAAGGAGAAATAAGTGTTAACTGTGATAATTGAAAGGTGGCTAAGTGAGAAATGTTGAGAAAGAATAAATTAGAGATCTGATTGAAAGGGGGATAAGGACCTTTAATACTCGAAGAATGATAAGTTAGCAAATTGCTTTAACTATACTAAGGTGTGATAGCACAAAGATTTCCTTAAATCTGAGACAAATTAAAGCAACATACATACATTCCTGCATCTGCTGGTTTTATTGGTGTATTTTCTCTTCTTTCAGCCCCTTCTAAAAAACCTAATTAAGTCCGCTTTTTCCTTCTATCCTCTTTTCTGGCCTTTTCTCATCTTTTTTTATTTTCTTCCCTTATCTATCGTTTGCAGAGCTTTTTGGTTTCTTTTTGTTTTTTATATTTTTTATATTTTATATATGAAGCAAAAATCAACTAAAAGTCAAAAGCCTTGTGCCGAGCGATAAAAATTTTATGCTTTCGCGGAGTCGACTTTGTGTTGAAGGAAAAGAGAGTAAAGGGTAAAAAATTATAACTAGCGGAGAAATTTTCTGGGAATTGTTTTATAGGTTTTCTCTTATAAATCTCATATGAAAGTGGGTTATAGGAGGTCCCCACGATATCCCTCCTAATCTCCTCTTATCTTCAATATCCATATATATCTCATCAAACCTACAAATCCTCCGATCACTCTTAATCACCTCAAATCCCTCGATATCTACGTTGATACTTTTATATACCTGTTAATCCCTTAAATACCCTTTTAATCACTTCTAATCCTTCGATATCATCCATGGAGGTGGGTACACAACAATTAAATAACAATTAAAAATTTTATGTGGGAGGGGACTTATTTTAGAAAGGCGGCTTATTTTAGAGGGGGCCTATTTTAGAGGATTTACGGTATTCAGTTGTTCATTTTCTCTAGAACTGACTGTAGGTTTATAAAAAAGAAAACTGACTGGAGTTCATACGAGATTTTTAGAGATCTCATCTCTCCCGACCAGTGAGATTTCTCTTCGAAATCTCTCTTTTAGTTCAGCCCCCTACCTCCCCCTTTTTTTATTTTTTCCCAACCCGCCCTTTCCTTTAAACAATTTAACCCCCCTTTAGGTCAGTCCTCTCATCGCCCTTTTACCCACAAAAATAAAAAAAATTTCCAACCACAGCTTTTATTCATTTGTTCATTTTTCCTCCTTTTTTCATCACTTTTCCACTTTTTCCGTTTAATTAGCTTAGTTTTGACGCAAAAGCAATTTTGTTCTGCTAAATTTTTGCGCGCCTTTTTTAGAGGCAGACACTAAACTCTTTTTATTTTACGTTGAATGACGCCACTTGGGAGGGCTCTATAAAAGGGAAAAGGGGGCTGTGAAGTGACGAAATGAGTTTTTATGGAAATCCTCGGGTTTTTTACACTATTTAAACAAAACAAAGGACTCAATACTTAATAAAAAATGCTTTGTAAGAGTGCAAATATTCGCAAAATAAATTAGAGTTGCAGCCTTGACCAGGTACCCAGATTTCGTTCCGAAACTTAGAGACCCCGTACCCAGATACCTTAGAAACTTCACCTAGTTTTCGAATGATTCATCAGATTTAGCCCGATCGAACACCGCGCGGAAACAAAACGGGACCCATTACCCCGATACTCTCTATCCCTTTAGTTCAGGGTTCAACCATAAACTAAACTAGATAAAATATGGGTTCTAAGCACTGTTCGGCACGATTCAGTATTCACGCTATACTATCGAAAGTTAGGTCTCTGTGTTTTTAAGTACTTCAAGTCATGTTCCCTTTGCTCTATGAGTAGAGTGAACTACTGTACTATTTTGGAATGAGTACACGTTGAGTACACGTTTGGGTACTGAGTACACGTTCAATCAATTATTTATATTGAAAAAATTTATGAGTAGTGTTTTGAGCATCACTCGATCTGCAAATGTGTTTTTAAACGTTCCCTAACTTTATTCATATAGTAAAGCGGCTTACATTTATTTAAATTTTACTTAATATTCAAAGATACAATTTATATTTTATTTAAAAATGTTTTACTCTATTATTATATTAAATTTGGTGTCCATTTCTTTTATTTTTGACTAGGGATAAGGTATCCTTAAATAAGATATGTAATATAAGGATGGCGGTTCATGGGAAATCTCTGGATATCCGGAACCGGAACCGATATCCGAACCAAAACTCTATGCCTAAATTCGGGGTGCAATCTTAAAATAGGCTCGAATAGGGGTTCTGAACAGTGTTAGGCACGAGTAGGTATTTCCGCTATACTCTTGAAATTAAAGCCTCTGTACTTTTAAGTACCCCTAGTTAATGTTCCCTTTGCTCTATGAGTAAAGTGAAAGGAACATGTCGCTATAAATTTAAAAAAATTCTAAAATTAAATATCAGTCACCTGTACGTATTGGTAGATTTTGGAATTTTGTTACGTGTTCAATACCAGACTTCTTAGTACTGAAGGTATTGGTATTTAAAAAATCCATGAGCATTGTTTTGAGCATCACTCGATCTAAAATTTGTTTTAAAACGTTTCCTTAGCTTTATTCATATAGTAGAGCAACTTTTATTTAAATTTTACTTAGTATTCAAAAATAAAATTAAAAATTTATTTAAACATTAGTTACGCCCTTTTACTTAGTAGATTTACCGCATATAGTTTTTGTATTTTTGGATAGGGATTATGTATCCCTAAATGAGATATGTACAAAATAACGAATAATCTTGATTTTAAAATCCAGATTTTGCTAAATTAAATTTTCGAAAAAAGTGACCAATCTTTCCTTATCCCAAGACGTTTAAAAGCTCGATTCGACTAAAATAAAATACAAAAAAGATTAAATTTGAGTCGGTGTATGATTTTTTAATTTGACAATTTTTGTTCCCTTTCCATGAATAAATTACCATTTTTTACAGAAATTCTTTGGCTGCTCTTCAGAGCTCGGCGAGCCTTTATTGCCAACAAAAACAAGTAGTAGCTGTAAAAGTCAACACCAATCAGTAAATAAAAACACAAATTTGCCGCCACCGCCAAGGTGGTCGGCCGCGCCGAATACTTTTAATAAAACAACAACTGCAGTAAATAGTTCAGATTCATTAATTTTAGAGCCTAAAAGAAGTATATCGCTTTATTCTGTAAGTTTTTTACAGAACTTTGTATAACCGAACTTAGTTCTACTTAATATTTAAAAATGAGATTACCATTTAATTAAAAAAGTTCACTAGTATTTAGTTCATTGTGTTGATTTAAACCATGCGTCATATATTTTTGCATAGAGGTCATATAAATTTGATAAGAGATGTTTATTCTCAATATGGAATATAATGAAAACCCTTTAAATGATTTACTCGATCGTTACAACATAATATACATACTAGTCGATATATCAGTTACTTTAGCACATTAAAAATGTGTGATAAATCTTAACTGAAAATGATAATTTTAAAAATTAGGGAATATAAAATTTAATATTTAGCAAATTTAACGTGTTGTCATAATACTTAATTATCCCTAAGTGCAGGAAACGCACTAATAATAAATTCCTTTTTATTTAAAAAATCCTCACGTAAATCCTCCCTTTCCTTTTTCAGGACGTCAACGCAATCGACTTTTCCCCTTCAATTGAATCTACTCAACAACCACTCTCAGTTTTCAACCAAAATGGGAGACGTTCTACCTCCCCTTTGAGCGATCGCCGAGTTGCTTTTCAAGAGAATAATAGAGGGACTGACAGGGGTAATTTTAAATTTTAACTTATAAACATTACTTAAGGCCTCCTAGTCTAATTCTGGAAATCATTGTTTTATTTAAATTTTTATTTGTAAGTGTTGTTAACAACTTGTGTGATCAATTAAGATTCTTTTTGAGAGGTGGAGTAATATTTTCTGATTGGACCTAAATTTTTTCTCCTATTAGAAATAATTCTAATAGTTAGTCTAAAAGGTTTCAGAAAATTCTTCGTTTAACTTAGTAATCTTTAAGATTAGCTTTAAAAACATTGCCCTAGGTAAGGATATAATCTAGGGTTGCACAAAACCGTTTAATTTTACCAAAAACCCGTTTACCGTATACCGTTTAGTTAAACGTTTTGTGCAACTCTAATATAATCCTTAAATCTAACAAATTAATTTTTACTTAATATCTAATAATTTTATTGTAGGTAATTTATATTTGTTAATTCGCGGTTCCTTATTAAGGCAATTTGTGTCGAGAGTGTTTAATATTTATGTGAGAGAGTAGAACGTACTCTCTAAATTAAACTTTTCTAATTAGACATTGTTTCGGACCAAATACTTTCTTGTTTCAGATCACTAGTCAGTTGGCCGTAATAATGTAGTTTAAAAAACAGCCAAAAAATAATTTAACGAAATTAGGCTATTAAATTTAGGCTTGCAGAATAAGGGATTGTTCTACTTAATGTGAAATCAGCTGATTATTATTTTATTCTTACGATATTAGATGGCATATCTGTTGTTTCTTTATTTTCCTAGGGAGTAGAATGAACTTTTTAAATTTAATCACCCTTATGCGAATTTTCCTATGGTAGGATTAACTTTTTAAGAAAATCATTCTGTTAATTAATCAGATGAGACGATAATTATTAAAATTTCTCAAAACAGGAATAGAAGAATAAAAGTAATTAAATTAAAATTTTATTAACATTGGGCCAATAAAATTTATGTTTTTAAAAATGCGATCCAGGCTAAAATACAAGGAGTTAATAAAAACAAATTTAATTTTACACAATATCTATTAAGTTAATTATTGTTTTATTTAAATTTTTAATTTTTGTAATTTCGGACCAAGATTGAGACAGATGTTATTTTTGAAAGAGAGTCAACAAACTCTCTAAATTTTCTCTGATTAAGTACATATAATTTGACTGTTAAATATTTAACGCAAATAAATTAGACTGATTAAAAAAATTTACGAAAAAAATTTTTTCAGCTTCATCAAAAGCAGAAACATCAACATTTATAAACATTGAAACACACCAACAACAACAACCTCTATCCCCACAAAAATTAACAAACTCCAACAGTAATCTTTGCCTGCTCCAACCACCTAACCCCTCAACACATTTTCAACCAAAATTTCCTCGTTTAAATAATCATCGCACCTCTGAAGTGCGCAAAATGTCTATTGTTGGGAAGCCTCTGGTTTACAAAAATTATAGAACCGATCAGCGCTTTAGGCGGGTCCAGTCAAAAATGCACAATTTTCTTGAGAGGCCGAGAGGGTGGAAGGCAGCAAGCTATCATTTGGCTGTGTAAGTTGATCAAAATAATTTTTGCTAACTTGTCTTTTAAAATTTTTAAAAAATTAACCTTCATTAAGTCTCTCATTTTCTTAGACTTGATATTTAATTTTATTTACGCCGTGCCGAAGGGCCAGCTAGCTCCGAAAGATCAAGTGTCGACGAAGGATCGAGGGTCGACGGCTAATGACTTTCTGTTTATAGTCCCTTGTAAGGTAAAAGCTCAGGGATCCTTCGGACATAAAATTAAAATCCTGATTTTTGTGAATCAGATTGGCAGTATCATTTTGACAAATGACCCGATTTTAGAGTTAAAAGCCTTATTATGAGCCTTATTAAAAGCCTTATTAAAAGCCACCTCTCTTCACGAAAGGTGTTCTATTAAAAATTTTTTTTCGTGTTTCAGTTTGGTGATGGTCCTAATGTGCCTAGCTTTGAGTGTGTTCAGTACTATACCCGAGTTTGAGGAGCAAGCAACTCTCACTCTTTATTATACAGTAAGTCTAGGCGGGAAACTTCTAGAGCACTATAACGTCCACTTTTTCCCTTAGGAAATTATTTTTGTTTTTTGGCTGGCTATTGAGTATGTTTGCCGGATATGGTCTGCTGGGTGTCGTAGTAGATATCGAGGTCGAGTAAATTCTTTGAGTCCAATAATATCCACTATCTTCAGGTGTTGCCGGCCGTATTCGGTTTGGAACTTCAGCTTATTGCATTATCGGTAATTTGATTTAATCTCTTTTTGAGACTCTAATGACCCTAAATTTGTTTTTCAGACATAATTGTGATAACGGCCTCGTTAGTGGTCCTGTGTATGGGTGCCACTGGACAGGTATTTTATTCAAATTTTACTGTGTACGGTCAAGCCTCTTAAGAGATTTAGCTAATAAAGACGGACTTATGCCGTTTTTTTTTCCACCAATATTTATTTGATGTACAAAAATGTCAGTCATTCTCTGCAGAATTTTCTAAAATTTCCCTGTACATCATCTATCAAGTAAAAAGTAGGGTAGAGGAAGGAAACGGCATAAGTACCTAAAAGGCACACCTTTATTACTTTACTTGAGATATGTATACCTTCAGTTATATACCTCCCAATAGAAGCTACATCTCTATTTAGGATACACCCCATTTAGCTGGCATTGTGTAAGTGGAGATGCTTAAGCGATAATAATATCGTAATTGGTCCACTGACATTTGACCACCTTCAACTAAACTTCGTTTCAATCTCAGGTATTCGCAGCCTCAGCCATCCGTGGCCTTCGCTTTTTCCAAATACTCAGAATGCTCCGAATTGATAGGAGGGCTGGAACTTGGAAATTACTTGGCTCAGTCGTGTGGGCACATCGCCAAGAATTGCTTTCTACTCTATATATTGGCTTTCTAGGGCTAATTTTTTCTTCCTTCCTAGTTTATCTATGCGAGAAAAACTACAATGGTAGGTAGAAGTAAAATTTTAAAGTGGAAAGTCACTTTTACAATCTTTATCCCAGCAGTCTAAAATATACAGAAAATGGTTATAGAGATAAAACGATAGAGTAATCATAAATTAAAAACCCTTTCTACTTAATGTTAACAAATACAATTATAGTTTTATTTAAATCTATTATGCTTATATTATTAATGATATTTTCGAATCGATGCCGTGTATTTTTGGATAGGAAGGCGTTCTTCCTAAATTAATTTGTATATTTTTTATAATTAGATGATAATTATGTATGTGCTTTACCGGTCTAATTCTTAATATCTTTAGTCACAGCTTGATGGTGTTCCAAAATTTTCTAAATACGACTTTGATAAGCTGAGTTATAAACTCTGCGTTTGATAAAGTGTATTAACGCTTCCTATCTCTTCCTAAATATAAATTTTCAAAATGGCAAATCTAAAATTTAAAAATTATTTTTAGATAAATACACATCATTTGCTGATGCTCTATGGTGGGGAGTGGTTAGTTAAAATTGGAAAATTAAGATTATCCAATTAACTACAGATAACACTCTCTACCGTTGGTTACGGAGATGTTACCCCAATGACTTGGCCAGGCAAAATAATTTGTGCAGTTTCTGCACTTCTCGGAATTTCATTTTTTGCTTTGCCTGCAGTTAAATTTAACAAAAAATTTTTTAATAAATTTATTCAATAAAGGGAATACTCGGCCCCGGATTTGCATTAAAAGTCCAACAACATCAGAGGCAAAAACATTTGATTAGAAGAAGGGTGCCAGCTGCAAGGCTTATTCAGTGCTTGTGGAGGCATTATTGGTAAAATTTGTTAAATTATTTAGACTTGGAAAGAAATGCTTTTAAAAATTAAAAAAAAATTTAAAAATTTGCTTTTAAAAATTTTTAAAAAAATTTTTAAAAAAATTTTTAAAACCCAAACAGAAATCTTGAAAAAATCACAAGTTGAGGAATTTTCGCTCCCGGAACTTTCGTCTCAAAATTTTTTAAATTTTATCATACCTGGAAGTCCTCTGCTTCAAAAGGTTCCCTGTTTTATACCACCCCTAATTTTTGCCAAAAATTCTCAATTTCTATTGCCACCGACAAAGTTTTTTTGATTCTGATGTGTCGATTTTCGCATTTTTAAATAAAAAATCCGTGAAGAGCACCTCCACCCTACTCCACGTCTTAAATTGTGTCTATTAATTTATTTTCCCATACATAGTTTTGATTGTTCATAGATTTAAGCTTTTATTAATATTGTGAATAATATTGTGAAATTTTCAAGAGAATTTCATTATCTGTCTATCATTAATTAATATTTAGACTCTCTATCATTATTGCCCTTTTATAATAAATATCCATTTAGTTATGGGAAAGCTAAATTAAATAAAAAAATATTTGCGCTTATGATAAACTAAAAATTCAGACATTAATTAGTGGATTATCAATAATGAAAAGCAAAAGATTATTGCAATTTTTAAAAAAATTTTTATAAGAATAGATTTGATTTGAAGTGTACAAAAAGTTAGCCCCACTTGTCTTTCCTAGTTTAGGTGTAGTCCAAAAATTTACAAAAATTTCCTGAAACACATCTATTGATATCTTTCTATTGATACAAGATCTGTTTCATATTTGGTGAGGTATTGACGAAAACTAGGTGGCGCTATCATTTTGTTACAGAGTGGCATGCTACACTAATTAAGGATAAAATGAATATTTTATTTAATTAAAGTTTATTAAATTATTAGTTTAAAATTAAATTTCAAAATGAAATTTATTTGTTTTTTAATCTTTTTATTCTTCAATTCAATTTTATGGAGTTTAATTAATTCTGTTAAAAATAATTCAAAGCAAAAAGGTTTAACAATAAATGCTGAAAATGTTTATTCGCCAAAGGATCAGGCGATGATAACTGATGGGGCTGAATCATCGGTTGCTCCTCAAATTCAAAAATATAAAGAAACGTTAAACCCAGAAATTCAAATTTCGAAAAAGGACAAAACTAAAGTTGATGAAGATGAAAAGAAGTTAAAAAAACAGCAATATGATAAAAAGAATTATCAAAAAAATAGGGAAAATTATAAGGAAAATGCTCTAAATTGGTATAAAATGAATAAGGAGAAGAGACAAATTTACAACAAAGATAATAAAGAAAAGAATATCGAATATCATCGAAATTATTTCCAAAATAATAAAGAAAAAATGAGAGAATATCAAAGAAAATACCGTCAAAAAAAGAGAAATGAGAAGGAAATTCCACAAACTGATTCTTTAAAATTAAAAAACATTCAATCTGGTAATGAAGGATGTTCTTTTGATAATCTACAGATTGGTGATTGTAGCGATAAGGCGAAATTACCAGTTATTCCCGAAGGGGACTTTCAGACTCAAAAAGGGAATCATCCTCAAGGAGGGGAAGAAGAAAATAATACGAATGAAGTAGAAACTTTTGTGGATGAGCAAAATGAAACTGCTGTGGAAGAGCCAAATAAACTTGGTGAAAATGAGATGAATCAAATAAATTTGAATGAGTATCCTTTTGATTTGAACGAGAAACCTGAGGAGGAAGAAGAAGATATTTAAAACTGAAGGTCAAATATAACGAAAACTGAGAGAATTTCAAATTGAATACAAATTATTTATTAAATATTTACTCTTTACTATCCGATAATCTGCAAAAATTTATAACTTTTTAAATGTAAACTTTGCACATTTTTAAATCTTATTCTATTAATTTCAAAGAATTAATAGGAAATAATATAAAATCTTAAAAAAATTACTGGGATTTTCATTGACACTGGCGAAAAAGAATTTTATAATATTTTTACAAGCTCAAGTAATTCGAGATCATGACTCAAACCCAATAACCCAAAAATTGTAGTTAAGTCAATACTCAAGACTAGAGATCGGACCGTACCGTACTACGGCCGTATTTTTCGGTATTTATCGGTATTCCGTATCGGTAGTACGGTACGGAATACGGTACCGATGAAAAATATCGGTATTTGTCGGTATTTCTCGGTATTTATCGGTATTACAGTCGGTAATACGGTACGAAATACGGTACGGCAACATTTTTAATTTCATCGGTATTTTTCGGTATCGGTATTTTTCGGTATTACGGTACGGAATACGGTACGACACAAAATTCCGATCTCTACTCAAGACCAAGAGTTACAGCTCTATCTTCTATTACTGGGCCTAATTGTGTTTTCTATTTAGTAATTTTTTACCTCCTTTCCTTTTATTTCAAAATTTGTTTTTCACATATTTTAATGTTTAAGATATTGTGAAATTGTCATTCACACACAATTTCACATGAAATTGTCATTCGAATTTCATAATCTGTCTATCATTAATTAATATTTCGACTATATATCTATATTGCCCTTTTGTATTTGTGTAATTATATTATCCATTTCTTTAGATATATGGCTAAATAAAATAAATATTCATATTCCCGTTATAATAAAATAATAAATAATTTTATTATTTTAAATATTATTTAGTCTAACATGTAATTTTAATTGTTAATTAACACAAAATTAGTTTTTTTTGAAACTAAAAATTAATTAATTTATTTATATTAGATTATTAAACAATTAATTTACAAAATGAAATTTAATAGTATTTTAATATTTTTAATTTACAATACGATATTATGGAGTTTAATTAATTCTGTTAAAAATAATAAAACTCAAAACGAGTTAAATAGAGTTGAGAAACCCTCAAAGGATTTAACTGAAATGTTAAATGATGGGGCTGAATCATCGGTTGCTCCTCAAATTCAAAAATATAGAGAAACGTTAAATCCAAAACCTAAAATTGTAAAACAAGACAAAAGTAAATATACGGATGAAAATAAACAGCTAAAAAGGAAGGAATATGAGAAAGATTATTACCAAAAACACAAAGAAAAGCGTATCGAAACCAGTCGAAACTGGTATAAAATGAATAAAGAAAGAAGCCAAGTCTATCGAAATAATAATAAAGAAAGGACGAGAGAATATGATCGAAAATATCGACAAGATAATAAAGAAAAAAGAAACGAATATCAACGAAGATACCGTCAAGAAAAGAGAAATGAAAAGAAAATTCTACAGAATGACGGTTCAAAATTGAAAAATATTAAAACTGGTAATGAAGGATGTTCATTTGATAATTCAGTGGCAATTGATTGTAGCGATAAGGGGAAATTGCCAGTGATTTGCGAAGAAGAAGTTCAGACTGAAGGCGTTTATCTTCTCCCTCGAGGAGAGGAAGAAGAAGGAGAGGAAGAATTCATTCCACTTCCTCAAAGAGAGGAAGAAAATAATACGGATAAACTAGACACCTTTGTAGATGAGCAAAATGAAACAGCGGTGGAAGAGCCAAATAAACTTGGTGAAAATGACATATATCAAATAAATTTGAATGAGTTTCCTTTTGATCTGAACGAGAAACCTGAGGAGGAAGCAAACGATATTTAAAAATGAAGAAATTGTAGAAAAACGAAAGCCGAGAGAATTTATAATTAAACGCAACTATTCATATGTGTCTGACTTTCTTTAGAATTCAAAGAATAAATAATTTTTATCGTATAATTTCAAAAATTTGCTCTTATCATAATGTCAGCATTAAATTCTAGCAATGCTCTTCTCCTTCTCTCCTTTTCTTCTCCCTTTGCTTTCTTCTTTTCTCCTCCCTATGATTTTTTATATAAAACGAATTCGATTGATCTATTGGATTTAATATGGATTTAGCTGGGGAAGCTGGGAAATTAAAAAAATCAAATAATATTGAAATAGAAAAATTTAATTATAACATCTAGAAAAAAAATATTCATAAATATTAATTTTTTGTCTTAATTTATTAAAAATGCCGGTCTAAAAGGCTTTGAAAATACTATTAATTATTCCCATTAAGACCTGATCAAATTATATTATCTTTTAAAACTTCAAAAAATTAAAAAGTAATGAAGAGATTGTAAGAATAATAAGAGGAACTACATTTCAAAAGTTCGGGGAAATAGAACGACATAATTTAAAAACATTTAGAGCCTCTAGGGTGCGTAATTACCGGTGCAGGACAGCTTTTAATAATTATAATCGTTCACGTTACCAGCATAGGGAGAATACTCAATGAAACTCATTTCATGTTTTCGGCTCCATTTTTTAAAGATGCTATGCTTGGAAACTTTCCGGATTTTTTGGATTATTAGAGATTTCTATTTACGAAACTCCTTCCAAATAGCGTTTTCGAAACGAAAGTATCCTTAGTTTGTAACAGTGGCAAGCTCTCGTTAATTCATTGTTCTTGAGATACCATAAATATATGCTTTGAACAAATACACATATTTTTGTGAGTAGGTTTAATATTAAGCTACTCACAAAAACCCATACCTTGACCAAGGTTCATCGTCCTAGTCACTCACCACACAAGGTGTAGAGGTCCTAAAGAAATTCTAAATACATTTTATTTTGTAATAATATGGCAGTGTCCTTTCATTTCCGAAATTCGCTTTTCCCATAATGATTTAAAGGAAATTGTTTACTTAATAAATGCCCTTTGATATTTCATAAATGTCTGTCATTAAGTAATATTTCTGCTTAAGCTTTAATTACATTTATTAATTTAAATAATAAATAATATTAAGTGTCAAAGTTTAAGTTAATAATTATTTCTTTATTTTTCGTTATAAACAAATTAACCTTTAAAAATTTTTAAAAATTAATTCAGGATGAAACTTATTAATATTTTATTCTTTTTAATTTACAATACGATATTATGGAGTTTAATTAATTCTGTTAAGAATAATAAAAATAAAAGCGAATTGAATAGAGTTGAGGAAACTTCAAAGGATTTAAATAAAGAATTAAATGATGGGGCTGAATCATCGGTTGCTCCTCAAATTCAAAAATATAGAGAAACGTTAAATCCAAAACCTAAAATTGTAAAACAAGACAAAAGTAAATATACGGAAGAAGATAAAAAGTTAAAGAAAAACGGATATAATAAAGATTATTACCAAAAGCATAGAGAAAAGATTATCGGCACTAGTCGAAACTGGAATAAAATGAATAAAGAAAGAATTCAAATTAACCTCGAAAAGAATAAAGAAAAGAAGAAAGAATATGATCGAAAATATCGACAAGATAATAAAGAAAAAAGGATGGAGTATCAACGAAGATACCGTCAAAAAAAGAGAAATGAAAAGAAAATTGTACAGAATGACGGTTCAAAATTGAAAAACATTGAACCGCGTAATGAAGGATGTTCATTTGATATTCAACAGACCGGGGATTGTAGCGATAAGGCGAAAATACCATTTAATTGCGAAGAAGAATTTCAGGCTGAAGAAGGAAATCTTCCTCAAGGTGAAGAAAAAGAAAGTAATACGGAGGAAGTAGAAACTTTTGTTGATGAGCTAAACCAAATTGAGGTTGAAGAGGCAACTAAACCTTGTGAAAATGATAAAAATCAAATAAATTTGAATGAGTATCCTTTTGATCTGAACGAGAAACCTGAGAAGGATTAAGAAGATTTTTAATGATGAGATCATAAATAACGAATGCTGATAATATTTATAATTAAATACAATTATTCATATGTATCAAATTTTTACACACTTCTAAATGTACTAAATGTGTGCTTCGTTTAATATTTGATAAATTTAGACTGGAAAAATCATCTATATTTTGTTTATTTGATAAAACGATGTAATGTTCTGATTCGAACCTAGTTTTGTTGTAGTGGTTCTCTCTCTCCATTCTTCTCCTATACCTACAACCTTCATCTACTTTTTTATTTCGTGTGCAAAAGATCTCGTGTAAGAGTTTGGCAAACTCCGGTGTAAAAGAATTGGCGAAACCGACAAAAGCAGGAAGTGGTCTAGGATTGTAGTAAAATTTTAGGAATTGTATGCGCACGAGCAAAATAAAATGTGTCAAACCTTGTTCGCACTTTATTCAAAAAATAAATAACTAAATAAGTTTATAAAATATCAAAAGAATAATAATGAAGTAAGCTGTAGCTGTTAAACATATACTTACCAGGCCTTATTGGCGAAAGTAAATTCCTTAAACATTGAGACGAAATTTCCGAAGGTCGAAAATCCTTCAACTTCCAAAATAAAAATAAATACAAAAACATTAAAAACAAATTTTTCAAACACAATAAATTTATTTCAGTGCTCAACCCGAAAGCAGAAGCCAGGCAACCTGGAAAGTCTACTTGCAGCCTGCTCCAATAATGTAAGTTTTTTTTATTTTTTATTCACATACACTCTGTTAAATAATTTTGTGTTTTACTCATCTAACCCTGAGACTTGAGGGCTCGACATTTGAGGAATTGAGCTAAATAGGGATATTCGATAATATCGCTCAAATGTCGAGTTTTCAAAGATCAAGGGCAACATACTCACTTTTTCTTTTTTTCACAATACAGTCATATCACCTTAAGTCACTCACTGGCACAATGGAAAGTATACATAAACACATTTAGCACCACTTTTAAAGTTAGATTTGATATTAAAATGAGAGTGACATACAAGTGATGTCAGGAGACAGAACTAATTGTTAAAAATCTTTTGTTAATGTAAAGGTGACATACAAGTGCAGTGGCACTGTAGATAGACTAAATCTACAGGTATGTGTAAGGTAAAATTCAGAATTTCCCGAATCCCTATAATTATTTTAAGAATTTCGATATCCCGAAAGCACGATGCACTAATTTCACTCACAAACACTTTCTTTTGTTTCAGCCCTTGCAACAAACCACCAAAACAAGCAAAATCTACTCAATCTTCTATTAAAGCCTTTACTTCTTGCCGGAATCTTTCTTTGCGTCTGCGACGCTCTCTAGGCTTGATACAAGCAAATAGGCCTCAACAAGTTGAAATCGTTGCTTTAGAGAGTGGGGGAGAGGAAGGTCGTCCTTCTAAAGTCAGAAGACGTTCAAAAGTCAAAGGAGTTCAGACGGACATTCCACCGAACGTAATGGTGTCGTTGCCCTTGATTGAGCTTGGAATGAAACGACAAAGGCTACTAAACATTCAAAATGTTGAGGAAGGAGAGGAATGTTCCCTTCACTCAAGCTCGTCCTCCTCTACTAATTCAACTTCAAATTCTTTAATATCAGGGGATGGAAGAGAGGAAAAGATGGAAGAGGGGGATAATTTTTCACTTTTGAAGGAAAAGGCGTCTTTAAGACAGCAGTCAATGCCTGAGACGGTGTTTGATGCGACGGAGTAAGCTCAACCTTTTTATTATTTAATTCTAAAATCAAGGGCACACACATAAAGTTAGCACCTTAATATATTTTGTTTTTATCACTAATATCACTTTACGCACAATGGCACCTTAAATTTAAAATCATTCACTTTTGAAGAAAAAGAGAGGGGGAGGGAATCTCAGCATACAAGTAGAGGGAATTTCCGGTCATCCGGAACCGAAAACCTAAACAAAATTTAGAATAACCGGAAACGGTTCCAGATACCAGAATCGTCAGCATTAGTTATAAGCGACGATCCTTTGGGTCGAAGAGCTCGGGTTCTGTGCTGCCCAAAAGAGGTTTGGGTTTCTATAATAACTCATACCGTATACAATCTATGAGATAGTAAACTACCTCATAGACTAAAAAATATTGACCCCTCTGATACATTACAATCTACATTTTATTTTAGAAGAATCAGGCCTTGTGTATCTGCCCCAAACGGTCAAAACAACAGTTTAATCAACCGAATAAGACAAAGTGCCAGAAGAAAACCGCCTCCTGCCCCATTAAGTACTGATTTTGGAGCTGAAGGTTAATTCGGATTTTTGTTAATTTATCAAAATGGCATTTCAATAAAAAATTTTTAGATGATACACCGACAGACACACTTTGTGGGGTAAATGTCAGGACTTTGTTTGTACCTAACAGACCTCCTGATAATATAAGGCAATTAAATTGAGGAAAAATTCCGTCACATTTTCTATAATCCGAAAGTGACCAAATTGTGTCAGTTGAAAGGGCTCGATGAGCAAGTTAAGTGCCCCTATAATAAGTTTTAGTCCCAATTGTAGCATAAATATGGTTAGTGAAATAGTGAGATTCGAGTTATGGTCTCAAAATGATCAAATATACAAACGAGTGTCTAGGTTTGGTTTATTCTTGGAAAAGTCAACTCTAGGTGGACCAAGACTCTAGGGGGATCCGGTTGGTCCCCCCGTCAACTCTAGGGAACCAACCGGATTTTTTCGGCTAAATTCGTATATGCAAATGATAGCTCATTTGAAAGAGATTGTCTATAAATGACATATTGTTCGTCTCAATCGGATTATGGAAGACAGACGGAATTTTACCTACACCTTAAATATTAAAAATTATTTAAATTATTTTTTAGCATTGTATCAGCTTCAGATACTCTTAGTGAAATTGAAAGTTTGGGTGCTTTAGGATTCTCACTTGGAAGTTGGCGTAAGAGCAGTAGTAACAAGAGCAACAATAGAAAGTAATTCTTATTAAGTATTAGCTCTTTCTCTCCTTTAGCTAGTGCAAAAGGTTAATAGGCGGCTGGGAGACCAGCATCTTCAGTAGACCGGACTGATATGTTAGCCATTACACCACGCCGCCTACGCACAGCCTAAGGAATTAAATAGCTATATGCTTTATAGTATTCTGATTTTTGATTTTCCAATCATAATTTTGTATGATAATAAAATCTGAATTTTGTTCTAAACCAGAATTCTGATTTTTACAAATTTCAGAAATTTTCTTTTTAAGCAGTTATTCCCACCACAAAAAGAGCATTTCCGCCTTGGCAATGTCCACAACTTCAGCTATTATGGATAGTGACTGTGGACAACATCGTCCCGTGGGGAACAGTTCTTCCCTAGGTACACTTACAGGTCTCTAAAATATGTTTTTATGTTTTTTTTAAATTTTTCCCTATGCTTTTTGCACATAAATAATTAGTTCAGTCATCTCCCTTATGTATAAAAGGGTCGAAGGGTCATTATTGAGAGAGGCTTACTGTAGATTGAGATAAAGATTAAATTTTTCCAACGTTTGAAGGAAATTGACGTCGGACTGTGGATGGGTCATCTATATTTAAAAATCTTCGCTCCTCGCTGACATTATGAGGGAGTTGACTACTAATTAACAAAGCTGAAAAAATTTTCCATATGTATAAAATCCTGATTGCACTGCATTACTTTTTAAATGGCCTAGTTTCATAGTCCCTCCCGTGAATTTGAAAAAATAGGGAAATATTTAGAATAGTAATCTCTTTTTTATGAAACATTTCAGCTCCCCCAAATGCTCATCCTCCGCCTAAACAACGCCAATTCAAAAATTTACTACCTCGTCGTCCATCAACCTCACCGGAAGAAAGAAGATATAAATCCTCGAGCCCTAAACTTGCTGGTTATTATAAAACCCTTTTTAAAGGAACTAAAATTTTCTAGAAAAATCAGACGAAGAAAAACAGCCAGAAGCCTCAGAAAAGGACATAAACCCTCGAAAGCCTTGCCGGTCATTTTCTGCTGCGGATCCAGCCACCCTCCTTCTAGGCGATTTTTGGATGGCACCTTGGCTAGAATGGATAGCGAGGGAACGTGCGGGAGGGATAAACACAGGGAATGGAGGGAACGACAATAATGGGAATGATGGGAATAATAATAACAACAACAATGGAGGAAACGAGGACTCCTCAGTGTGGGGTCAGTTCACTGCATGTGCACCTCTCCATCAGCGACGGGGTCAGGACCGTCGGCGCCTATCCAATGAATACGTGTCCGGTAAAATAAAAAGAAAAATTAGTAAATTGCAAGTGCGCAGTCTTTATCGCATTATTATTTAATAGTCTTGTAAGTAGACGAAGAAAAACAACTAGAAACCTCAGAAAAAGACTTGTTAAAGAGGTGCTTTTGGTTTAAGCTACATTTTAAGTAAGGGCATTCTTTTAGCTTATGGTATGGTTACATAAAGGTCGTATAACGTCTTTCGACTGAAAATATTATTAAAAAGGAGTAGTAAACCCCCCCCCATACGCCCACATGTCGCATGTGAGATGGGGGGCAGGGGGAAGGGGTTTTCTGCTCCCATCCGTCCCAGTGGGACCGATGGGTGTTGGGAAGGAAATGACCTTGAAAATTTCTTGTACAAGTACAAGCAAATTTTGCGGCTGAATGGGGATGATAAGGGAAGTGGGGGAAGTTAACTGTAACTAAATTTCTCTGTTGTCCCACATGTCCTAGTGAGAAATTTGGGAACTGGCGGTAAAACAAAAGGAAACCTTTGCTTGTACAAGTACAAGCAAATTTGTGGGTGGATGAAGATGATCAAAGGGGGAAGTGGGGGAAGTTAACTGTAACTAAATTTCTCTGTTGTCCCACATGTTCCAGCTAGGAATTGGCGGTAAATCTAAAGGAAACCTATCAAAAGGAAACCTTTTCTTGTACAAGTTTCCGCTATTAATTTCTCCCTTTCCCACATGTACCAGTGGGAAATTTGGGAGAAACTTGCGGGAAAACAAAAGGAAACCTAATGATTTGACAAACCTTTGTCTCTATGTGAGGGTATAAGTAAAGGAAAAACAAAAAAACATTAAACAAAAAATTAAAAAATAAGGGGAAAATAAAGATATTGACGTTTTTCCCTCTTCCAAGGTCATTTGCGGGAAAAATTAAAGAATAAACATTTAATTGTTAAATCTTTATTTTTCTGTTTGTGGAAATTCTTCTAAAATTAAAAAAATTAAAATTTCGTAAAGTTTTTCGAAATTCGAGATAAAAATTTTAAAAATCTTAATAAAAATTGGAATTATAAATAATTTAAATTTATTGGTTAAAAATTTATTTTCTTTATTTTTCAATTTTTTTCGTTTAAAATAGTCCGCAGATAAAGTAGTTAGATTAAATGGGCACTTTTAATCTAAATCCTGAATCTTTAATTTTTTTTATTTATTTTTACACATATTGAAAAAATATTTTTTTAAGTTCAATTTTTTAAATTTATTTTTTATTTAGAGAAATAAGAAGACAAGAGTAGACCTCAAATCTACAGATATCCATCTTAATCCCTTTAAATCACCCGATATTAAGAGTGTTTAGAGATTTGTAGGCATATTTCCTGGTTACCCTCCAAATCTGTTATCCACAAAATTTATTCCCTCAATTCCCCCCAACAAAATTTCCCTGTATTCCACCAATATGACCAAATTCTTTTTCTGCGCCGCAGGCAAAAAATTTGAAAAATTTGAAAGACAATTAAGTATGATTTCATCCATTATCTGCGCCGCAGGCGAAAATTTTGAAAAATGTTGGGGATCTCACGCCTGAGGTGTGGAGCTCCGGCCCAAGGTGTGGAGCTCCAGCCTACGGTGTGGAGCTCCGGCCTACGGTTGGAGCTCCGGCCTGAGGTGTGGAGCTTCGACCTGTGCTGAGCACATAATTTCTTATATTTTTGCGGCGCATTTGTACATTTTGAAAATTTTAGAAGGCCAAGCATTTAGTTTCTTGCAAGTTTAACAATTAGAAGATAAAATTCACGTAAAGTTAAACAAAAGATGATAAAATTATGTAATGATAAGAGACGGAAGGCGTAGATTTTGAGAATGTTACTGTAAAGTTAAGCACTAAAAGATACTATTGATGTAAACTTAAGAATTACAAGATAAGATTGCTGTAAAGTTAAGCAATAGAAGAAACAATTGATATGATGTTAAGGAATGAAAGATATAGGTTTTGGGGGTAGAAATGCAAAGTTAAGCATTATAATATAAAATTTATGTAAACTTAACGATTAGAAGATACAATTTATATAAACTTAAGGATTAAAAGTTAAAACTGGTGTAAAGTTAAGATAAATAGCAAACATTTTTGGTAAAATTAATCAAAAAATAATTGGTAGATGCGAATCTTTGGCGTGTGCATTGCGTCTATATGGGGAATGTAACAATATGCGGACTTTCATTGTTGTGGTAGTGCATGATTGTAGACACGACATTATCTTTTGCACGCATAATATAATGGCATAAATTACGATATAGAGTAGAAACCTTATGTAAAGTTAAGAGATTTAATATAAAATTCTTGTAAAGTTAAGAGTTAGACGATACAATTAAAGTAAAGTTAAAAGATAAAAGACACAATTAATTTTAAGTTAAGAATTGGAAGATAAGGTTGTTGAAAAGTTAAGAATTACAAGATACAATTCAGTAAAAGTTAAGGAATGAAAGATGTAGGTTTTTGGTGCAGAAATTCAAAGTTAAGCATTATAAGATAAGATTTGCGTAAACTTAAGGATTAGAAGATACGATTTATATAAACTTAAGGATTAAAAGTAAAAACTGATGTAAAGTTAAGAAAAATAGCAAGTATTTTTAGTAAAATTAATCAAAATATAGATCAAATGCATTGGTACACACGAATGTTTGGCGTGTTCATTGCGTCTCTCGTAAATTCACGTTCTCGATTCCCGTATTTTTCTTGAAAATCGGGAATTTTCTGTAATTTTCCTATTATATCTGGCGCTGAAAATGGGTGAAATCTGGCCTATTGTCCTTACAAAATTCTCAAAATTTTCGCCTGTGGTGTTAAAAAAGTAAGAAATATGTCAGTCGATCTACTGAAGCCGATCAACTGAAGAACAGCTGGTCAACTGAAGATACTAGCCTTAGCCCTAGCAACCTTAGCCCTAGCAATTAGAGGAGTTGGAGGGCCGTAGGTTGATTAAAGTTACTCTTAATCGCTTTTAATAACCGTAAATTTATTCTTTTATTAAAAGGCACTACGAATGTTTAGATAGTAGCACCTTCTCTACCTCAATTTCTGGCATTGATATCCGCCATTGACTAGCAAAAATCCTGTAAGTCAGAAAATCATGAATCTCGACGTTTTTTAAACGGGAAATTTTTCCAAAAAATTCAATTTTTCTCGAGAATCACGATTTCCCTAAATCGGGAATTTTGCTGTGGATCTGTATCGGATGTGTGTCTTTATGCAAACCTAATAAGTTTATGGTTAGGACAGTGAGTATAGCAATTTGTCACAGTGAGTTAGCAAATTGTCTCCGTAAATATATTCTGATAACTTAGGAGATTATTTTTAACAATTATTATTATTATTAACTGTTTAACAGTAAAAATTTAATCTTATTCATTTTCATATATTTTTCAATCATTCCTATTATTTCATCTAACCGATTACTCGGGTTGAATTAATTAATTTTACTAAATTCCATATGTGGTACCCAGCCCAGGTCCCTAAAATAAGGTGGTTAGGTAACAATCGTAACAACAGCGCCGATGTGGCCTAACGCCGCGGGTTTAACGTCGCTGTTTTTCTTATTTTTCCCTATTGAAAAACGATAACTTTTTAATTTTTACCAAAATATAAATTGGAGTATTATCTTTGATTTCAAAAATTAAAACAAGGATTAATTTTTCTTAAAAATCACTAAAAATTGGGTACTTTTAGTTAAAAATTCTTATAAATAGTTTTAAAGACAAACTTCCAAAAATTTTATAAAAAAATATAGGAACGTTAAATTTATCTTCAAATTTCGATTTTTAATGATTTTTAAAAAATCTTCCATAATGCTCCTTAGCAGGGTAGAAAAATAGAACGGGAAATCTATCGTTGTATAATTTTCCTTCTTCTTTTCTTCCTTATTTTTCGGCGCAGACACTTCTCCCTTCTTTTTAAATTATGGGAGAAAAGTTGGGCGCAAGTAGGCCACGTTTGAAGAATAAACTGATATTATAGTCGCCTTTTTTCACAAAATACACCGATATCTTCTTATTCATCGAAATCAACTATAAACTCGTAATTCCTGATATTTATTCAAATGCTTTAACACTCTAGATCCTTTTATATACTCGCTACTTCTCAAACCACTATCCTCCTAAACACTCGTATACTTTCAGTGTTCAATAATTTTTTAAAATAATAACTTTAGATTAACATTACCTGAGGATATATGCAATATTGATAATTGATTAAAATATTAAAAAACAAGATATATTATCGTTTTAAATTTATTTTTAAATTTTGCAACGTGTAGATCTTTTTTGCAGATATCAAAATTATTTTATTATATATTAAATGGAATAAATAGAGTTTAAAATATTTGTTTATTGGGAAATTCTGCATAAACTTGAGAATAAAGCATGAGTGAAATGTTCTAACCTTTACAAAAATTTTATATCTGCTTAATACAATTGAATTTTTTCTGCTTAAGCCTTTCAAAATCCTCAAAATTTTTGCCTGCATCTCTGAAAAGTGACAATTTTTGGCTCACGCAATTCACTACAAGTAGAAACGGTGAAATCATGGGCTCACTTCAAGTGTAATTTTTCTGCTAATTGTCAGACTTTCATAATATCATCATTAGTAGGGCCCGGATTTTTATTGAAATAAATCTTTTTTGCAAACACACTTTGTCGGAGAAGCCCAAATAAGCTAGGGTTCGTAAATAGTTGTATTTCAATATATTTCAAAATTTTGCCAATTTTTCGTAGCGGTTTTTACTAAAGATTTTGAAATGGCCACGCCCATTCAAAATCTTTTTTAGGGTTACGTCCATTTCAAAATCATTAGTAAAAAATCATTCATAAGGATAAACTAGTTTATTTCCAAAAATCCAAAATTTATAATGAGACGCTACACCGATCAATTTAAAGTGAACATGATAGTATTAGTAAAGAACAGAAATAAATATGGAAAAAATGTATGGCTTTCAGGAACGATAATCGATATAACTGGTAAAAAATGTAAAATATCGGTTCCTCGATTGAATTCTATTATTAGAAGATATGTTTGGCAGATCAAAAAATTTAAATTTTCAATTGTAAACCTCTGTTCTGAAGAAAGAACAATTATTAAACTATTTGATAAAATGAGTTTAAATGGCCAACAGAGAGCTAGTAAATAAGTGTGGCCTTGACAACACAGTAAAAAAGAGTAAAAATCTTTTCTAGTCTCATTTTAAATAATTATAATTAAATTAAAAATGTCAAATTTATTGGAAAATATTTCAAAAAATTGGATTGTACTGAGGAATCTGTGCGTTTTAAATTAATAAGTAATTATGAAATATTGTAAGAATGAAAGATTGTAAAATTTTTGATGATATTAAGAGAAAAGCTTTGAAGACAATCTACTTTCATAAAAGCGGCACAAAAAGGATTATATTCTGCAATGGAATTACTACATTAGGTTCTCATCAAATATGGGCATATGGAATGGAATCTAAAATTTTCCGTTTGAAGATCAGAGGATTTATTCTCGCCTTCTAAACTTTCAAGAAGTTTCGATTTTAGATTTTTAAAATATTACGCTTTGTACTTTCACTTATTAAAAAATATTTGTTTTTAAATTAATTCAATATTTATATATTACGAATTATGGCATTTTTTATTTACGAATAAAATTTATTAAATATATTAATTAATTAAATATATTCTTGATAATTTAGTTAAAAGCCGCTTTTTTGAAACCAAAAAATTTCTGTAAAACTTTTCAACATTATGATAAAAACAAGTAAAAATTCAGGGTTCACATCTGAACTTTTTAATAATCTAGAAGTTTGACTTAAAAAATCCGCATTTTATCAAAAATCCGCAAAAAAATTATTAGAATCATTAAGACCATAAAATTAATTAAATATATTCCTGTATATACAAAAAATAATCTCATTATCTTCAAAAGACCTCAAAATCCGCAAATCCGCATTTTTAAAAATATTCCTCACTAATCTTTAGGAAAACACAAAAATTTTTAATTATTCCGTTTTATTGTATAATCATTTTGATAAAAACTCAAAAAAAGATTGAAAATTTTTGGAAATGTTAATTAAGTGTGGAAAAGTAGATAAATTACATTAAATTTTTAAAAATTGTTTCTAATAATCCTTAGGTTTAGATGAGTTGTACATTCTAAAGTTTAACTTTACATTAAATATGCCGTTAAAATTTCATTTTTCCCTACAAATAAACATCTTCTGTCGTTATCTTGTAAACCTCGACTGTACATTATTTTAAACCTAATCCATAACTTTACATAAACCTTAACTTTTAAGCCATAACTTTAATTCAATCTTAATTTTATCTCTAACTTACCATTTATTTTAACCCTTAATTTTCAATCTTAATTATAATTCTTTTAATTTTAATAGTTTTATCGTCACACAAATAAATACAATTAAAATAATAAAGTACAATGTATAAAATTTAAGTAATTGTGAAATAGTGAAACAAAACATATTTTGAAATATTAAATTACAATTCCATAAAATACAAAATGAATGAAAAATATGTTTTGGATTACTAACTTACAATTCAAAAATTTGTGAAAACAATTGAAAGAATATTGTTAAAAAATTATTTTTGTCCAAAATTTAGAATTTTGAGGCCATTGGAAATTATTCCTTTTTGAATTATTGGTTTAAAAACTTTTCTCATTTTAGTAGAATAAACCATACCATCCTTCAAGTTTCGACGAATAAAGTTTGGATTTTCCACTGTAATTGTCCCTTTATCAAAATCATCATCTTCCTCACTGTCAGCTCCCCCATTTGCATATTGAAGAACACTATCCTTAAAACTGTCAAAGTGTAAAATTTTACACACATCAGCTGTTAGAGTGATTCCACGTACTTTAAGAACACAGCTTATTTTGGCATTTTTATTACTCTCCATTTTCAGTGCGTAAGCCTTACACGCACCTCCAACATATTCTTTTATTTCAGATCCAGCATACTCCCTTGCCAAATCACCTAGGTGAGGACCTGTTTGAAGGGGGCATTCGAAGCCCTTTGGATGTGAAAAAAGTATGCTGTCTGTGTCTCCATAGAGAAGATTGCAGCCTGGTGAGTCAGCGACCTTTTGCATCGCCTTCAATAGTCTAATTCTTGCAGCCGATGTTGTCCATAATGATATCACCATGTTTGATGTATCATGCTCTAAAATAAATTCTTCCTTTTGTTTGTAAGTCAACAAAATTGTTTCCTTAGTCAAAGTATCGATAGTTTGAATATCAATTGAATTGTTGTTATCATATTCTCCAAGTTCAATAGGGCAGTCGATGACTACACTTTTTGATAGGCCATTTCTTAGACTAAACCTTCCCCATAGAGAGTTTAGCATCAACTTTGATATGTAACGCATAGCCTTATCAGGGACCATTTTCTCTCTTTGAAGCTCAATTCCGAATTTTTCTCTACATTCTTTCATAAACTTATCCTCATTTTCTTTTCCTTCTATTCCTTCAGGAAACCCACTCGCATGAATTTTAATAGCCATAAATTCGGCCACATAATTTTTGAACAAATTATCATCCCATTTCTCATAATGAAGCGCCCTATAAAACCTTGTAACTCTGTACCCAGCGTTTAAAGCTTCTTCCAACTCTATAGAGGTACATGTTGAGACCCATCCCCTCTCATCGTCATTGTGTGGGCAACTGTAATCTTTGATATTTGCACCATTCGGGTATGCAAGTGAGCATTTTCTGCATAACGGAAAAAGTAGTCGTTCATCAAATTTGACTGGAATAACAGGAACTTCCAACTTTGTTGGTGGTAATATGAATACTTTCAAAATTCCTTTGAAAGGAATTTGCTCACTTTTTGTCCAATAAACTTGTTGTTCAGCTAGAGGTACAACATGCACTTTCGGATGCCCAACCGGAAATGATGTTGTAGCAATTGTTGACGGGCAAAGCGAATTAAAGTCCAAGTAGGCAATTTTATGATTTTCTTTGTCTGCATCAAAGTAGATTTGTAAAGGGCCTGTCCTTCCGCCAAAATAGCAATCTCTAATCTTTATTGGACCTTTGTTGTGATAATTTGCAAAAACTTTTCTCATTTTCTTGTTGCGGCGAAACATCTGATGTATCTCGCATTCCCATATAATATCAACATTCTTTATATATTTTTTAATTATTTCCAAGCGTTTCAAATCATCTTCACGCGTTTCTCCCACAGTTTTTCCATTGGGTAAAATTTTATTCAAATCATCTCCAAAACATTTTTGGCATGCGTGCCAAACACATCCATTTATTTCAATTGCCCTATCTTCTGCTTCTATGTACCCATCAACCTTGTATTTTTCAGCTACCACATGTTCACCTCCTTCGGAATGGGCACTTTGAATTTGCACTCCTTTTGTCTCCTCGTACCATTGCAAATATTTCAGGGCTAGTTCACTTTGGTTATCACAATTTTCATAACCTTTTTCGGGTACAATTGCCAAATGATCAGGTTTCAAATGGTTTACCCGAAAATGTCTCATACAGGCCGACGCAATAGTCATTGCATCACGTAAAATATCTATTCCCTCTGCCTTTGTACCAGGAGCAGTATTTTTCTGCTTGCTTAATTCTGCGAATTTATTTTTGAAGGCAATTAACGCTTCTGTGAGTATTTGTACGTCATTCGTACAATATTCAGCCAAGGCTTCATCCAAACAAAATTGCTGATTTTTTTCTTTCTCATACCATTGATCAAATTCGTTTTGCTTTTCAGGTGACATTCCTCCATACAAATAATCATCTTTTGGAGGTAGTTTTTGCAGGATTCTTCCATAATTTTCGCGGATATTTGCCAGATGAGGGAAAAATTGTTTTTCAGTAACAAGAAGTCCAAATGCGCCAACTAACTTCCCCAAGGCGACTGGACAGAGATTAAATGAATCTCGAAATATAACCTCATTGCATTTCTTGTTACGTGGAATCTTTAATTCATAAAGTTTATTGCCGCGACGAATCATTGTCGGAACAACACCTTTCAAATAAATTTCTTTGAAAACCATAATCATATCGTATCGGCCTCCATTGTGTGAAAATGCCATAGTTAAATATTGAGGATTGAGTTCAAAAAGAATCCATTGAATAAAGTCTTTAAGTGGCTGCTGTGTGATGACTTGCTCATCAACTGTTGTTTGTTGAAATGGGCGATGTGAAAATGTGATTGATCGATTTGCTCCACAGATTATACAATTGTTCCCAGAATTTTTCAGTGAGGAACGCCATTTTTGCTCATCTTCCATACACTTTGTACAAGTTACTGTTGCGGCGATGAAGTTAACTTTATGAATTCGTCTTTCTTCATCTATGTTTACCTTAATCTTTTCATTTTGCGTTGCTTCAAAGTCAAATGTTACTAGACGGTATGGTGTTGATTTTTTAATTTCTAAAGGCTGAATAAAGCAACCTCTATCCATACTATGATATTGTAAGCAAGTTTGGCACCATTTCTGTCCACATACGTGTTTCCTTTGATTTCCTCTTTTGATATTCTTCATCGACCAGATTACACCACATTTCTCACATTGTTTTGTTTGACGACAGTTGCTACCTTTTTTATGGTGTTCAAAACAATCTTTGTTTAAGTATTTTTTCCCACATTCATCACATTCTTTGAAAAAGTCAGGTGTTGCCACACATGGTCTGTCTCCTCCTACACGCCCGCAGAGATGGCAACGCGATTTACATCTCATACTATGCTCCTTGTCCTTTCTAAAGCTCTTTTCGCAGGTAAAGCAATATTTTACTCTTAATCCAAACATTCCGCCAACATTTCTTAATCCATCGAAATGATTATTTGAGTAAAAAATTGAGATAGGGACATTGAAATTTTCACTTCCATATTTAAATTTAGGCTTCTCGTTTACACTTCCAAAAACAAATACTTTAAATTTATAACCTGTATCCTTGTATTGATTATTCCAAAAGTCGACAACAACAGGCACATATTCTACAGCATCATATTCAGGGAGATCTTGAGGGATTTTTGCAGCTTTTAACAGATCAAAAACATCCTTCATTTGCCGATGGTTATTTTGTAGATATCTACTAAAATTTCGTCTATCCCCCAATTCTTTAATCACATATTTTTTAGTAATTTCCAACGCATAGAATAAACACAGGTTGTTAGGATTGACAATTTTAATGAATAATTCATCCCTTAGTTGAGGAATTTTTGTTCTATTGCCTTGTGGTGCACTTCCTCTAATTGATTGATTTTTTGGAAGTGCTGAAATCCCTAACGTCTGGATTTTTATTGTGAATGGCTGACCATACAATGATCCCTTTTCTATTTTAGACTGAGAAACTAGCTGGAATCTGGTTAAAATGTTGTCTACTGTATCTTTTTCCAACTTTCTAATAGGTATCCATATTTCGTTATCAAGCAACTGTGAGGAGATTATAGCGCCTAATCGATCAGGTTCGACTGATTGATTCCTTGATTCCTCCACAGTTTGATCAATACACTCTTGAATAATTTCTCTTAACAACTCCTCTGGATTCTCAGACTACTATAACATCCCTTTCTTTTTATTGATTGATTATCGCCCCGCCCCTGAAGAGACGGGCAGGGAAAATAAGGGTGACGTAACACGGACCTTTTGCCACGCGACAAAATGCCACGCGACAAAATGCCACCCGACAAAATGTCAAATGACAAAATGCCCATATGACAAAACGCCATTTTTAAAAATAATTAAATTCCCAGTGGCGGAGTCGATCCTGTGACTCCTAGCCTATAGGCGGAGACACTACCGACTCCGCCACTGGGAAGCTTAATTAATTTAATTTATATTTAAACTTAAACCCTTTAAACTAAGCGATCGGGATGGTTCAGGGCCCGGTTTACAGTGCGGACGGTTAAGCGCCGTTTAAAAATGTTAATGTTAAAATATCAAGTTAAAATATTAAGTAAAAAATGGCAAGGTAAAGATTTCATAAAAATATCAAGTCATTAATTGACAGGGCATTCAGATCCAATGGGTAAATTATAATGAGTAATTGATCTTGGTAGCCCAACCAGGGGTATATCTTTAATATTTTCTGTGATGGCATTTTCTTGAGTGGGAGTAATTAAACCTCTATTGCGCAATAATCTAAGAATTAAAACCCAGCATAGAAGAATCATAGGTATTAACAGTGAATAAATCAATAAAAATAAAAGAATATCATAAGCTACAATCTTATTAGATCCCTTAAAATTTTCATCAAGATTTAAAGCGAAAGTTATATTATCAGAAATATCAGAGTAATTTTGCATTTTAAATGCCTGTATGATTTTAATAACCAATTATTTATACAAATTTTTAACCAAGATTGGAATCCGAAACGATATGCCGATTATAATCTATCATTAACATTTGATCAAATTCTCCCAAGATAATCATTTCAACTCCACCAGAAGGAATGGGAGAATTAAATTCTAAACGAATACTTGTAGTACCACTTCTAAGCAACTCAAACCCACAAGAGTCGTCAAGTGTTGAAGTCAAAGGTATCACAAAAAATGTCCACCCATTTTTGTATCGGGACATTGGAATATCAATGGACCGATCAGAGTTAGCCATCCCCAATGCTTCGTACATGTCAACGAAAGCTCGAACAAAAAGATCTTTTTCAAATTTTAGTTTATAAGCAACCATGGGATAAATATGTCCTCCAGTATGAACTGAGATTTCTCGCAAATCAAATGGTTTAAAGTTAAATGGGGAAAGAGCAATGTCCCCATTAAATGCCTTGTTTGACACCAAAGCAACCGTGACTCTTCTCGGTATTGTAGCGCTAAAAGCATTATATTCAATTTCTGTGCGCCCCGCGGTTAAAAAGGTCGATTTCATTTCAGTTCTTCGCAGAGCATATGTAGCAGGCTTTGATTCAAGCGTTTTATAAATGTTCATATTGAGAGATGGCTGTACCTCAATCATTTTAGAAAAAAGTTTAACGTCATGAACATAAAGCCTATATTCGTTTTTATCATCGGCTTTAAGCTTATGTAAAACAAATGAATTTTTACTTCTATAGATGCTAAAGTTTATATCTAAGTTATTAAGTAAAAATAATTCCTGGTTTCCCAAATCAAAATCTAATCGTGAAAGAAACTGAGATCTTTTACCCCCAGCAAATAGCGAACATCGATTTATAAATCCTGAATCAAAAGCATCATCATGCTTTTCGCTTTTATAGTACCCTACTGATGCAAGAAAATTAGACTTAACATTGTCAGGAAATGATAATTCATTGGTTATATATGCTTTATATGGATAAAGAGTACCACTATCGTAAATTTCAGTATTACCAACATTAACTTTTAGTTGTTGAACGAATGTTTGCCCGATACCTTGAATGGTTCCTATATTTGTATCTTTAGTCGAATCAATATCTTCCCATTTACCATTTTCACCAAGCTTTTCAATAGAAAGTTCAAGATAAAGATAAGTCCTGGAAAGGTCAGTCCAGAGATTATCACTGAACAAACGAAACAAATAAGGCGAATCCTGTGTTATTGTGCTAAGAGGAAGAATCTCTCGAAAAAATGAGCGAATAACAGAAACATTAGTAGGAGGAACGGAAAAAATATTCAGGGCACTATTTAAGGCCAAAGGACTATTTTCATTAATTTGTTTTGGACAACTCATTCTAGTACGTGCCTAAAGTATCTACTCGTAAACGTTTGTTAGCGTGAATTTTTCTAGGTGATTTTTTCGAAGGTTTCCTAACAAGATTAGGAATAAAATTAGGAGGGCCAATACGGGAATATGCCCGCTTATTTATAGTATTAGGCTTTATATCATTTTTTTCATCATTCATTTGACCAAGGGATGGATGCTTTTCAATATTCTTGTAGCGTTTAAAATCAAATCCTTTGCCTGTTTGTTTATCAACGTTATCGGCCGCTTTCTGTAGTAAATTTTTCAACCCCGATTTGCCTTCATTAATTAGAGATTCTTTCAGATTCTTTCCTTCGAGAACATTACTTAAAACTTTATTGCCCGATTCTAGTCCTTGTTTACCTATAGCACTACCAATTTCTTTGCCGATAGGTATAAGATAACGGAGAAAGCTCCTAAATACTGAACCTAATCCACTTCCTCTTTGGTAGGGAACACCGCAAAACACGTTATACCCACCCCATTGATTAGGCTGCTCGGTCAATGCTGACCAGTTAATATGTGAGGGATCAAAGTCGATATGCATTTCAAGTTGAAAATAAATATTTTTAATCTAACTATGTATATTAAATATCTTTGATGCAATAAATTCTGTAACAAACTTATCAGCATTTATATTTTTAAGAAATAAAATTATTTCATTCATGTGAAAACCGGAACAGCGCATATAGAGATAAAATATTGCATGGTGGCCACACGAGCGCGAAAACATACCCTGAAGTTTAATGGAATTAAATCGAACCCTTTGAAATTTTTCTAAATAATCTCGAATATGGGAGCTCATCGGCGGCCATATTCCCAACGAATCGTAGTATTCAATAGTTTTAACGGAATCACAAAATATGGCTACCCAGTGTGTTCCAGGTGAATTATTAGGATCTATGTTAATTACCGCACAGAAAGGTGAATAGGTTGACTTAGAAGGGATACAGTTAGAGGGATAACAACCGATATAATATTTTTTGGTAACAGAATTTCTGTTTAACATTTTATCAATCTGAATAGTATTCATTATTAAAAGTAAGTAGACTTTTTAAAGTGTAATGTTAATGTACATGTTCCATACTGAAAAGGCATCAAGGACCCGCTAGTTGTGCGAATTTCAATTAAAATTTCAGAAATTTCTTTAACAAGCAACTTATGATATTGAATAGAAAGAAATTGTTCCTCAATTATTTCGTCTTGATTTCCTCGAATGGTTACAATACGGAGAACCGGAGCGGTAATATCCCCAATAATCATTGGTTCAATTAGGCCTGGGGCATAAACGTGAAAACAAGAAACCCCTCCTCTCATATCTGGCATAAATTTTGCAACACAAGATTCCTTTAATACTTGTGAATCAAAACCAAGAATATATGCAAGCTGCTCGCTTATTTCAATTTGTTCTATATACTTCTTGTCGATAAATAATGAAAACCTATTTTTATGTGAGTGAAACTCAAAGGCACATGCAAATTTTGGTTTACGATATACTGTAATCCACGGTTCAAAGCCACTTTCACGAGTCAGTTCAATAATTTTTCTAGTTTCTATAGGCAATTTGTCAATTTCTGCTTTAACCATATCGTTGTAAATCTCTGTTTCGCTTCTCAGTTTAGGAATTTCGCCCTCAGGAATAATCACATGTTTTTCAGTTGTTACGTTTGTAGATACCTCTTTACTGCTCTGTATTAGTTCTTTTAATTTTTTGTACTCTTCCTTAGCCTTGCTTCGTGTTTCCTTTAATATATTGGTATACTCAACTTGACAACCACGCATTTTTTCCGAAAGTATCTCACTTCCTTCATTAAGAGATTTATCAAGGCTTTGTTTTAAATTTTGAGGGTTAGTTAAACTATTAGAAGGTACCGCTAAACGAACAATCTCACCACTTTTCCAAACAACTGTTATAGTTTGTTCAGTTGTAGTCCCAAGTGAAGGCCAGGAATGAGGATAAACCATGACAGATAATCCAACATTCCATTCAGAATTAAATTTTAGTTTATGGGGTAATCTAACTCTAAAAGAATTAGTTCTATTTCCTTCGACATTAGTATTGGATGGAATAATTATATAAAAGGAAGTCATTTTTATTTTAAATATTTAAAATTTCATTTATGTATATTATCTCCAAAGAACAGAGTTAGCAGGTATCCAACTGTTATGTTCAGACCCATAATCTTTCCATTTTACGAAAAGATAATCCACACCATTTCGTTTCCTTTTTCTCAAAACCTTTTCAATGTCATAAATATTCTCATTCTTTTTAAGTTCTTCTTTAACGAGAATTAAATCATTCCCATAAAACCACCCAAGAATTTCTTCCCCTTTACGATCGCGAATTTTATAAGTTGGAGGTTGATGGGGAACCAATCGAACCTGGTCAATAATGAAAATTTCATTTGTAAAATTTGGTAAGTATCCTTTTTGGAAAATATGTTTATATTTTTCTATACGAACATTATCCCCAACAGAAAATTTTTTATTTCTCCAACTTGATGGCGCGTGTTTTGCAACTGCCTTTTGTTTTAAAAATAAACGCAAGCGTTCTGCATTTTTATAATTCACATCAATAGGTCTCATGTCAATACTAGAGTTAAAAGAACGATTAATGGACAAAACAATTTTCTGGATAACGTCTAACCATTTTAAAGTTTTATTCTCTGTAAAATAACGGTAAAGTCGCTCTTTGATACTACGATTAGCCCTCTCAGCCATGCCTGCATGCCATACGGGGGAAGTGAGCATTGAGAAGTGTTCCATATCTATTGAGCGAAAATATTTTTGTACAAATTTTGCAGTGAATTCTAATCCTTGATCTGTTAAAAGTTTCCAGGGTATTATTCCGACCCGAAAAAATAATTTTTTAAAAGCTTCGATCATATTAGTACTATGTTTGCTTTTTACTGGTTCAACAAATATTTGTCGGCTAAGTGTATCAATACATACTAATAAATATTTGTATCCACGATTATGTTTACTAATTTTATCAAAAACGCTAAGATCGGCCTGCCATTCTGTGTGTAAGCCTGGAGCTAGTGTTGGCATGCGCTTATACTTTCTAATTACTCTTCTATGTAATGTATTAACATTTTGGCTTGCAAGGTAATCTCTCACAATATTTCGAGAAATATTTTTATCTAATCGCCTGGCTTCCTTTAAAAGTGGTTCAACGGATGTAAAACATGTAGTCGAATTAACATTCTTGTATAACTTGTCAAGAATTTTAATTTTGTTTTTATTTAATTTTGCCATAATGATGGTTTATATGAAAAGGTGTGTTTAAAAATTCCTTCACCTTCTTGGTTGCTAGTTGAAGATTTCGAAGGAAAAAGTATATTTTGTAAAATCGAATGGCTATTTATTCTACGAATAAACTCGTCATAACCAGTAGGGATTGGTCTTTTGCGTTTACCTTTATTTTTAATTATATAGCTTAAAATTTCTTCAATATTACTTGTGACAAAGGATTCTTGAGTACCTAATCTTCTGGCTAACTTACCACTGGGCAATATGCCAAGTTCATTAGCATGATCTCTCAAATATTGACGAGCTTCTTCCTTAGGATCTGTTTCACTATCTGCTGAAAAGAATTCTTCACCCTCTTCATTCTCAATTTCATCAGGATTTTCTATCTTTACAGCTGGATTTGAAAATTTGATTCTCTTTCTTAATGTAACTTTACCAATTGAGTTTCTTTTGGGTTTTCTTATTATAATTTTTCTAGAAATTTTATTTTTATTAATCTCGTTTTTTGTTTCCACTGGACTTTTATTTAAATCGACATTTTTACTTACGGCATCAGCAATCTCTTCAAAATTTTTGAGTTTCACATCAATAGGCTTCTCTTCTTTTTCTTTAATAAGCTTGTTATACCTTTTAAAATCCTGCTCGTAACGAGCTGCTCTTGTTGTAGGATCTAACGAATTATTGCTTGCACTACTGTTTTGTAAACGTTCTTTTATTAAGCCTAAGGCCGTCCCGTCTCCATTCCCATCAATTTTATCACTACTTACTAAACTTTCATAAAAATCCTCAGGAATTAATATCATTCGCTTCATTGTTAATTAAAATTTATATTATCAAATTTTATTTATATTATTTAAAAATTTTTTCGGTAATTAAAGGTAAAACTAGACTTGCAAGAATACCCGCTAAAGGATAAATCCCGTTTCCTTGTTGTAATAAACATCGTGTTGAGGAAGCACTTCTAGATCTACTGATTTTCCTCAATATATTTGCATGTTTTTGCAAATTAATAATTCTATTTTTATGAAAAGGTAAACGCCCCTTTAATAAATTAAAACAAATTTCAACGAAGCATAACAACTGTTCAGCGGATGCGTTTAATAATATATCATTCATTACCTTTCTAGATTTTTTAGATTCGCAAACTGAATTTAAGAAATTTACATTTTTCTCAATTAATTTGCTTGTAGAAATTTTTTTATTCATTTTGGTATATAAACTATAGTTTTTTCTCCTGTATTATAATATATATGTGTTCGAAGTCGTAAAAAGTCAGGAGTACTAGGATGTATATCGACTAACAAATATCCAAAGTTTTCTTTTGTAGCATTAGAATAGGATTCCAGAAAGTATTTTGATTTTGAAGGGAATAATTGGGTTGCAAGTGTTCTAATTTGCAAAGCTCCTGCCGGATTTCTCATTAATAAAAGATAATGAGAATTATTACGGGCAACTTTTAATTCTTTACTGAATAAATGCTGTGTTATTAATATAACACTCATTTGCCAGTTATGAGACCCTTTAGTGAATATTGTATCCAAAAATATTTGGTTCATCCCAACCATTAAATCATCTAACACTAGTAACATTCTTCCATGCCTTGCTTGTTGTTTTATAAATTCATTTCCCCCGTTAGGCAACCCATTGTGAACAATAACTTGTGTTTTACCTTTATTTACAAAACCTTTACGTTGCATATTTATAATATTAGAATTTAATTCACCATAACAATAAAAGACTAAATCAATTTGATTATGTTTTTCATTTTCATAAGTAACCATTTCCTCCAAATTTTCCAGCAAATTTTTAACCCATTCTGATTTTCCAGACCCAGTACTGCCGGATACGATCATAGTGAACGGGTGTTTAAAACGAGCGTGTATAGTATCGACTTTCTCAAATCCATTCATTTTATCTAATATAACAAATCAAATTCAGAATATTATATATAGAAAAATTAATTTTATTTTTTCATTATAATATTATTATTAAATTATGGAATTTTATAATCTCGAGCCTTGGGGTGTTATTGAAGATAATGAGTCTCAGGCAAATACAAATCAGACAACAAATCAGGCTAATCAAGAAAGCAAAGAGGCAAATAAAAAGGTACAAATTTTTTATGAATAAATTAAAAGCACATTTTCAGAATGAAATAGATGTAATTACACCTGCTTTTGGATTGCTTAACATTGTGGATGAAATAATCGAAGAAAAGGAAGATGAGGTTGAAGATGAAAAAAATCTAGATACAAGTGAGAAATTACTTCGTCTGGTTATAGACGATGATGATGAGGATAAACCATTAGATTGGACTGTTGAACCAGAAAATCCATTTCGTGAACCAACACCCCAACCACCAACTACAACCATACGACCTTTTAATGAAATAACAACTAAACATGTTCGACCAAATAAAGGCTCTATTCCTTTACTAGACTATCTTTGCGAAATAAAAAACTGTTCACTTAAAGAACTACATGTGCTTTTTCATAATCTCGAAGTTCGGCGCGAACTTATAGAAAATTTGCAACAAAATGTCCAAATACGTACTTCTCATCTAAAGCCGAGTTGTAAAAATTTCAACGTCTATTGCCATGATTTAACAGCGCAATCTGCAAGTAATGTTCTAGCTATGGGAGGATATCTTGGAATAACGGTAAATTAAGATTAACTTTTAAATAAGATTGTAATTTTTAGGTTCGCGGGTACTACTACGTCAAGCACAAACTCAAACTCTGCCACCCATATTTACCGTGCCTTATACAATTTGGAGGAGGACACCATCGATCATTTTACCCGCTTGAATGTCTCAATGTGATCCGTCACAAGATGAAAGGAGGATGTTCATAGAAAGATATTTAATTTTAAAACTTTTAAAAAGCTTTTAATTTTTCAATAATTTTATTTTTAATATACATAAAATATTGTATTTTTTTATTTTTGAAAAGTAAATATTATGCAAATAGAAAATTGTACTGCTGTTTTTAAACTTCTTCCATATAATAAACGATTTTCTTACGAAAATTTTATTCAACTTGCCCGCCATGGGATAAATACAGAATATAATCCTCGGCGATTCCATTCAATAATTATGCGAGTTCGGCATCAGGAATATAAAACTACGGCAGCACTTATATTTCAATCAGGCAAAGTTGTTCTCACTGGTGTTCCTAACCCTGCATTGGCAATCAGAATGGCTTGGCGTGTAACTAAAAGAATCCAAGCTTCATATAAGGCAACAGGCAATGACTATTCTTATTTAAAAATTGGTGTGAGGAATCTTATCGTCACAAATATTGTTGGTGCCTATCGACATCCAAAAAAGCTGGCAATTGAACGACTTTATTTGTATCTTCGGCAACGACAAAATATAACTTGTTATTATGAACCAACAATATTCCCAGCACTTCGTTTTAAAATAAAAATAGAAGCGAGGGATGGAGAAGTTTCCTGTCTTTGTTATATTTCAGGACGTGTAATACTGACTGGATTAAAATCTCAAAAAGAAATGGAACCTATTTTTGAAAATGATATATTACCATTACTTGAAAAATTTCCACGATTATAAAATTTATTTAAAAAATAAAATATTTACAATTAATATCAGAATAATTTTTTGTGGTGTGGTAAATAAAAATAAAAATTTTTTAACAAAATTATTAATTAAATCTATTTAAATAATCACGATTTGTCCAGTTTGCTGAGCCTGGAACATTTTCGAAATTGAGAATAGAATCGTCCATCAGACTAGTTTGTGGTTCAGTATTTTGAAGTTGTTCATGTTGTTTGTCTTGGGTGTCCATGATCACTTCCAGTCTGAAGTTTAATAATTAATTTACAACTTATCAAAAAAAAATACCGGAATTTCTATGTATCCAAACGGAAGAGTTTCCATCTCTGGCATTATTCTCCCCTTCTCATAATACGGTCTATATTGTTTTGTTGTCAAATGCGTGTAAAGCTGTGATCGTCGAGTTCTGCCAATCTGAGGGAATTGCACACATATTGAATTGCAATTTCCACCAGTCCTGTTAAAGATGGGTTCAGCAAGCGCTTCATCCCTAATTGAAAAATTTGTTTCATTTAAGTAAAAGTTTTTAATTTACATTATTCCATCAACATTAAACTGATTAAGCACAAGTTCCTTCATGCTCTCAAAGTTGAGTAATTGATGTGTGGCATAAGAGAGCGGGAAAGAGCGGATCTTAAGCTCTGCTCGCTCATCCATCCCAGTATTTGCGTCGACGTGTCTGTACCCATAGTTCTTTGGCCCTCCAGCAACAAATTCCAAAATTCGACGTGAAGGAATTTCACGTTTCATTTTCCCAAGCGATTCCCCTTCGGGTACACGTGGACCACCAACCTTCCCAACATAGATTAAGGAATCAGTGTCGCAATACAAAAGACGGGCGCCAATTTCATGAACTTTCTTCATATAATCGTAAAGATGTAAACGAGCATACGAAGTCACAAACGCTGCTACAGGAATACAGTTGGTGTTGGGTGCTTTGGCAAATTCTGCCTTTTTCCTGACTACACACCGATCCAAATGCTCACTAACATGATCGAAATCGAGCATTTCTGTTGTCGGATCTTCAAATAATTGATGAAATTCTGCTGGTGTTGTGGCGTAACGGACTTCGGTTCCACAAACACGCTGTGCAAGTTTACCCCAAAGTGAGTTTGCCAACAATTTCTAAAATATATTATTTAATCAGACAATATAATTAAAATATACCGCAATCATTCGAAGACCCGGATTCTTCTCAATTCGATCTGGATCCAAAGCAATACCCTCAGTTCGTTCAAAATCTAGCAGATATTCAGCTTTATCCATTTGAGTTACACAACCATCCGGCCAGCCGCTAGCCATTTGCTTTAGCCCCACGAATGTGTTTACATATGATTGGAAAAGTTTGTTGTCCCATTGGTCATAATTCCAAACCTTTAATTTTATTCAAAATATTCAAAAAGTTTATTGATAACCTCGTAAATATCCACGACTTTATACCCAAGTTCCAAAGCAGCATTCAGCTCCACGTGAGTGTAGCCGGTCAGCCAGGAACGCTCACGATTTGAATGGGTACAAGGCCTCTGTTGTTTATCATCGGCGCATCTTGCACAAAGCGGAAATGTGAGCCGGCCATCATGGGTACGATAAGGTAGAAGAGGTGGAAGATTTCCAGGCAAGCATGTGGGTGGTTCTATTTTCACAAGAAGTAAACCCTTGTAGATGTTGTGCTCTGGAATTGTCCAGGGCAAAGGGTTGTTGTTTGATGGATCAAGCAAGGTTTCACGAGTCAAAACATGAGGATGCCCAACTGGGAAGGGCCATGACTTCATCACATAGGGATAGAGACTTACCTAAATTTTAAATGTTAAAAATTAATGAATTAAAAAATTACAATATCGATATAGATAATTTCCTCATCTTCAGCACAAAAGTGATGAAGTTTGAACGGCTCTGTCCTACCACCTCGAAGACAATCCTCCCTTGGATCAAGAGGTCGAACACAATCAATTTCAAGCCATTGATGGCGCAACTTTGGATTATTTCTTAACTTTTCCATCATTTCATGGCCCCAGATTACATGAAGTTCAAATCCGTGCTGGTGTTCCAATTCCCAAAGACGTTGTTGTGTCCTTTCATAAAGTTCTTCAGCAGTACGGCCGGCGGCTAAACGTTGATCCCGACGAGGGAAGCATCTTGGACAGCCTAAATTAAAAGTTTATACAAAAAAAAATCTATTTTAAAGTACCGTGGAAGTAGCAACCCATGTATTCAATTGCTAAAGGGCGTTGTGGAGGAGATCGCTGCCAAAGACCATCCAATCTATACCCACAATCTTCCACATGTGCTTCTCCCAATGCCCATTGTGCATGCTGAATCTTTCCTGCTGCTTCAGGATTTTGTTGTTCGAATAAGCGGATGTATCGCTGCGATTCAGCAGAGGCACGTCTTCCTCTCAAATAGCCTCCCTCCGGTGAATGGACGAGCCAATTTTCAGGCAGGAAACAGCGACGCATAGTTGTAAGAGCCAAACCAGCAATTGTTGATGCGGCTAGAAAAGGGTCCAACTTTTGCGCGTGCTGGCCAATAAGATGCCGGAATCGAAGAACTCCTTCACGTAGAATAGCAACATCATTAGCACAATATAGAATAAGTTGTTCACGAAGCTGGAAATTAGTTGACTGATCACATAGTTGTTGTTGATACCACTCTAAAAGCGATTCTCTCTTCACTGAATTTTTATATTCAGGCTGATAATAATGAAGTGCAGGAAGTCCTTGAATTCTTTGATGAAGATGCTGTCTTTTTACAAAAAGATAGGGAAAGAATGGTTTGGATGTTGCTACTTCTTCAGGTATTGAGAAAATTTTTGTTAGAGCATCAAGCTCACAACTGAAGTAATTAAGCGAGTCTTTGAATAAGACTTTTCTTTTGTGGTTCCCAGTTAATTTCATAGAATATATTTTAAGACCTGTTGTGCACAATCTTGTTGGTGGTTGGTTTCGCCTGTGTAGAGCTTCAAGAACTAAGTGAAAGTCGTATTTACCACCATTATGGGCTATACAAATAGTTAACATTTGCTGCGAACCATGATTAAGAAGATAATCAAGAAATTGATCCACAGGGCTTTCATGGGTGTTGTCGAAGGAATGGAAAAACATACGGCGAGGATTAAATGAAATTCTATTTGGAAAGGCGGTGTTGTCGCCAGCGGCATTTTTGAAAGATGGTGAACACCAATTGCGCCATCTTTCTCCTCGGGGCTTCCCGCAAAAGCATCCTACGGCACGTTGGCCTACATCTTCAATTTTAATTCCAGCCTTTATGCAGTTCTCACAAATTATCTGATTAAAAACTTTTATTAGAATGAAAGCTGAATAAAAATTTTATTTTAAACATTAAAAATTTTTTTAAAAATTACCTCGGCAATTATAAGTATTGGAACATGTTTATATCCATTAATATTGCAGCTAATTTGTATATTTTCATCCTGGCTGGTTTCAGCATCAAAAAAGCATAAACGAATTGGAGATTGTCGTTTCTTTTGTGGTTGTTGATCTTCTTCATCAGAATCTTCTTCAGCTTTTAATGGCTGAATATAACAAGGTAATTCCTCTGTGTGAGGCCCCCGACATTTTTTACAAATTAAATTTTGTTGTTGTTGTCGTCGACATTCATGTTGTTGTTGCCGATAAATAATAAGATGGCATATATTACAAATGCGTCTCATTTGACAAATGGAAACAAAAGTACGGCTATCGCATCTAATAAATTCTTCAGGTGCATTATTTATTAAATGGTAATCAAAACAAGAACGATTAGGAAAAACAAATCCACAGTCTTGGCATAAAACTTTTTCAGAAATCTAAATTTAAATTACAATAAAAATAAAAATGATATTACCTGGCAAGGGAAATTGACACCTGATCTCATGCAAAATCGGCACACAACACTGTATCCCGACCAGTGAGTCCATCGGGTGTAAGAACGCTCACAGTCAATACAATAGCGTTGTACAGAGAAAAGTTGTTCAGGGCGTCCGATAAAATGATAATGATTATTTTCAAGCAGTAAACATAAATTGTATCGCGCTGCTCTTCCATCTCCCTTGTAGACTATTCTATATTGTTGTTCCTTTTGGAAAACAACAATACGAACATAATATTCATCTTCAAAAAAGATGTTTAACCAGTGTTGCAAGATTGCAACATGTTCGAGAGAATATTCCTTAAATTAAAATATTTTATGTAAAAGTATTGTCATAATTTTAAAAACTAATTTAAACAATAAAAAATACCATAAGTCCAAATGCAAGTCCTGCATTTCGCATTAAATTTTCTACTTGGAATAAATGTTGATGTTGTTGTTGGCAAAATTCTTTAAATCTAGCGGGTCCGTTGGGTATGCCTTGATCCACCATCCTAATTTTTGCCAGTCCGATAACTACTGCACGAGCAAGGCAGTATCTGTCGTTAGGATTGTGGACGCGCACAATCGATCGGCACCGGGACGATAAAACATGGTCGGATTCCAAATCACAACTACCTGTAGGAAAATAGCAGCCTTATATTTAAATAAAAAATATAAGACTAGTATCGACCTACCAGATCGGCCATCGGGATTATTTGTTCGTTGTCCATCTAATGGCCACACGCCCACAACTTTTGTTACTGTTGTTCCCGATAACAAATCAATTCCGGCCTGAGACATTTCGTTCAGTCGTTCAATTGCTGCGGCCAAAGCGGCAGGATTATTCTGGCCAAGTGGTCGAAGTGGAATTGTAAACGGGTGATGGAAATTTGGTGGTTGCACCTGAAGACCAACACGAAGTGGTGCTGGTCTTCCGGCGAGCACCCGATCCAAAAGTTGTTCAATTAGGCTTGTGAGAGCCAAATCTGGGCGCGGGTGGTCTTCAAGAGGATTGAATCGTATATGGCAAATTTGGCCATAAGTATTACGAGAGCGAGAATTGAAATCAGTAACACGCTCGATTGTGAAGTAATTGTTCATGTTAATGTCCTGAATTTATTATAGTATTATTATTATTAATTTTAATCTTTATTTATACAAACACACACACACACAAACGCTGAAACATGCACAACAGTCACATTTATCAAAACTATTTAGCTTATAATTACCATTAACACAACGGTGACGGGTTAACTACTCAATTATAATTGATATTAAAAATTAAATAACAAAAGTTTAAGACTAAAATAATTTCTTGCAATTTAAGGCGGTGTGGAGTTAAGCGCGAGGTGTGGGGTTAACTACTTAATTATAATTAATACTAAAAAATTAAATAACACATAATTTCATAATATTTATTTAAAATTACATTAAAAACAATTTAAGGCTAAAATACTTTCTCATAATTTAAGGCAACAGATAGTTTTAAAAAGCAAATTAGGCTAAAATAAAAAGCTTAATTTAAGTCAGTTACAAAGTATAAAATAATAATAAATTAAGATAATAAAATAATATTTCAAAGGAAGTTAGATATTTTGGGACGGAGATATTAGGATTTTTCGATGTAAAATAGTAAATCTACTAATTTTAAGAACTAAAGCATCAGGATTGGATAGTAATATTCTCTATTTATTCGAAATAATTTTACTTTAAGAACCAACGTAACCGTGAAAAATGTGTATTTGTCAAAAAACGCCCAATATCTCCGTCCCTATTGTTTTACTACAATTTTAGTAGATTATTTGTAAGGATTAGTTCAACATTTTACTATTTAAGAAAGTATAAAAACATAATTTTTAAATTATAGAAATAATTTATTTTTTTGAAAAAATTGTATACTTTTAAATTAACCTAAACATGCCCCTTAGATTGAAAATTCTGAGAGTCCAATACAAACACAAAAAATATTTAAAATGTTGGACTACTCGTTATTTTCAACCTGGGGAGCCATATCCTTTCGACATATTGTACAAAAACGATAATTACGTGACAAATCCCAAAAACAAATTTTATGAATTTTATGATTACACGGTAAAACGATTACACTTTGTAATGCGGTGAAATCTCGGTTACACGGACCACATGATTCTTCCTCAGGATTGTGAATGTAATCCTCTGGAAGTTTAATACGAGAGGCCATAAGAGTATTCCGTTCACTTAAATTCAACCCCCCAGGTGCCGAATATACATCAACAATACGTCGCTCACCTCTATACATTTGTGCCAGGTGACTTTCTTCATCGTTAAATACCGAAGGTTCACTGTAGATTAAGGGGGGTGGGGTATGGCCGGCAGTTCGCAAAATGTTTCGTAACTAATAAAAAACACAATATCACGGACAACGCATTAATAAGACAAATATTTTTATTTTAGTAAAATTTACTTGAATTGGCTGGTTGCTATTAGAATTTGCAAATTGTGTAGGCATACGCTGAAAAAGTATAACTCTTAACAATAATTTAAGTGTATTTGAATTTTTAACTTAGAAAATAAAAAAAGCATTACTTGATGGGAAGGAGAATTCTGAGAAGTTGAATTTGTTGGTGCCAATTCATTTAAAATTTCACTAGCAAGCTGAGGTGTTTGCTGAAATTTTTTGTATTTAGTGATTTTTTTTAATAAAAATTATTAAGTATTTTTCATTTATAAATAATAAATTTTTAATAATTCAATTTTTTTTCAAATAAAGAATTACAAATAATTACTTGAGGCGTATCATCTACCACCACCACCAAGTCATTTAAATTTTCAGAAGCAACTTGTCGATGTTGATGCTGAAATAATTATTATTGTTGCATGTATTATATAAATATTTTAGAAAATTACAAAAAACTTGTAATTAAATTTTGTTAAAAATATTATTCGTTAGCATACTCTTAAATAACTGGCAATTTATTAAGAAACATCGTTTTAAATTTAAACAAACCTGCAATATTCAAATTTAAAAAAATAAATTGATTTAAATATGAATCCCGATAATTGAAATTTTATTGAATCTAGCATTAATATTAAATACTTAATTCGAATAGATTTAAGCTAATATTTTATTTATATTTTTTATAAATTTTTTAATTTAAAATTAATTTAATATTAGCAATTTCTCATCAATTGAGTTTAAGTACAATATTAATCAATTCGATTATGTATCATATTACATTTAAAATTTAAAACTCAGTAAAAACATTTTAATCAAAATACTTAGGTAAATTTCAAATTGGCAAAAGAAAAAAAATTTCAAATAATAAAATTTACTTTAATTCAATACTAAATTTAATTAAAATTTCTAGTTCAAGTGAAATTTTTAATTCAAATTTTAATTTAAATTCTATTAAATTTTAATCATTTATTTAATTAATTTAAGCAAATAATTTAATTAATGGCTAAATCTTCCTTCAATAGTCATTAAATAGTAAATTACAAATGAATATTAATAAGACAAATTTATTAAAAGCATTTTCAAAAATATTTATTTAAACAATTAAATTTATAATTGGAATATAAAAAACTTTTCAAATTATATAATTCAATGAAATTTTATTTTAAGCAATATAAAAAATAAATTCAGAAATTAGGATGAAATTAAATTATAGTTGTAAAGCAGTAAAAAGATTATTACTAAATTTTTACGAGAAAGAGCATAATAAATTATAATCGAGAAATTCTTAATTTAATAATTTTTTAAATAATCCAATGTATTTTTTAAAATAAATATTAATAATAGATTGAATAAGGTTAATACATTAGATTTATAATTGAAAAATTTAAGATTTAAAAATTTTCAAGTCAACCTACATATTCAACTTCTTCTTCCTCTTGGGGCTGTTGATAAATACGGGCGGAACTTGAAGGCCCTTGCTCAGTTAAATTACTTTGTTGTTGTTCAAAATTTCCGGCGTTTAGTATTTCAATTGTTGAGGAGCTAACAAAACGCAATTTTATGTCCACACTTCCAGACCATAAATGACGAGCTCCTGTCTCGGGAACTACAATAAGATTGCACAGCTTAACTCGCTAAATTTTAATAAATCAAATTTTTTTTTAAATTTAAAAAATTTACTTGATTTATTTTTGCTCCTTCTAATCGGCTCGCATTTTGTTTCCAGGCAAAAACACATATCTTCTCTATTTCACCAGCCTGGCCTATTTGGACATGACAGTCACCGCGGTCCCACCCATTTTTTGCGGTGGGACCGCGGTGACTGTAGACCACATCGCCGATTAGCTCGCTTTAAAAAAAAAGTTTTTGTTAATTAAATTTTGAATATTAATTTGAAAAATATTTAAAAATAGTATTTTTATTTTCAAAAATTACCTAAACACTTGATCTTTCTCCCACGGTAACATGAACATATCTGTTGCAGTACAGCCAGTAGTTTCATCTAACGTTATGAATCTGGCTCCTTCAGGTTGATGCCCAGTAAATCGATTCTGCCGTTTTGCAAGAATCTATTAAAAAATTTTTTAATTAAAAATTTTAAATAAATTAATTACTTTGCAAATTTTTTTTAATTTTTTAAAAATTAAAATTTAAAAAATTTTAATTTACCTAAACGTATTAAACTTTGTTGGTTTAAATATTTTATTTACCTGCGCAGCTATTTCCTGAGGCATTCGATCCGCTTCTTCAACTACAACAATCTTTAAACAAAAAAAATTTTTTTTAAATGTAGTATTTTTTAATTAGTTAAGAATAAAACTAATATAAAAATATATATTTTTTCTAATATATATATTTTCTTTAGGATTTTACAATATTACAATACCTGAGCTGGAGCTGCGGCTACAGGCATTGGCATTGGTGCCGCATTTGTTGAAGTCATTCCATCAACCTTTATTGTTAAAATTTAAGAAATTTTTTTAAAAAATTAAACAAATTTTGTTTTTATTTCATTTAATTTAACCATGGTAATTTAAAGTTTTTTTAGATTTTTTTAAATTAAATCAAATTTACTTGATTTTGTTGTGCTGGATACAAAGACCACATCTGTTCACTTGCCGGAACCTAAATATGTAAATTAAAAATTGAACAAGAGAATAAATATTAGTGTTAGTTTTAGGAAATACATAATCTATATAGAAAGACAAAAACGCTGAAAAAAATATCATGCATAAATTTCCCGAAGAAATTTACAAAATAAATATATTTTTACATTTTTAGAAAATTCACAAATCTACCTGGGAATCCGGATTTGTGTTTATTGTTGCATTTGTTACATTTTGTATAGGTTGTTGTAATGATTCTACTGGTGGAGGTGTTGGAGAAGTTATAATTCGAAGTTGTCGTCGGGGTGGCCCTGGGGATTGCTCATTGTTTGGTCTACGTCGATTATTTGAATTAGAGCTTGTACGTGGCATAATTCTAATCTTCTGAAATAATAAAAGTATAAATTTTAAATTAATTAAATCAGACTGGAACATGGGTACAATATTATAGAAATGCTTGCGGATATCCGTCTGTATCCGCCGTAAATATCCGGATACCAAAATCAGTATCCATGTCTAGTCTGAATTAAATTAAGCGATTTTGTATAAGTAAAAAATTTTAAATAAAAATAATGATGAAAATATTTTAATGAAAAAGGTTGATTAAATTATTTGTTTTAATTGGAAAAAATTTTTTTGTTGAAATGGCTAAAAAAAAAGATTTTATCTACAACATTCCTCTTTTGTTTTGTTCCCTTTTAAAAGGAAAGAAAAAAATTTTTTGAGTCCTTAAAAATTAAGTCCTTAATTTTTTATCAATTAACAAAATTGATTAATTTAGGTGTCATTCGACTAGGTTCGTCAAACTCTTCCGAATAAGATCACATTTGTATTTTCTAAAGAGTTTTGAAACCTTACCCTAGTGAATTACCGACATTCGAGTTTTAAACATAATACGACTAACAAAGAAAGTTTACAATAATATTTATATAATATCTATAAATTTACTTCAAGTTTCTCTGACAATACACCGCTCAACGCAGCAGCAAAGTTCTTCCCACTTCCACAAAGAATAATAACACGTCCACTAGTCATGTATTCACAACCATGATCACTAACACCTTCGATGCCAGAAGTAGCACCAGAATTACGCACTGCAAAACGTTCTCCAGCAAATCCTCGAAAGAATGCTGTCCCTATAAAAAATTTAAAACTTAGAAATTGAGAAAATTTTTAAACCAGAAGTTGAGCCATAAAGAGCCACATTTCCAATTATTGTATTTTCTTCAGAAGCATAATTAGAATTTTTGTATGGCCGAATTATTATTTCACCTCCAGAAAGGCACTAAATTAAGAACAAAAATAACAGAAAAATTAATTCCCAACCTTTCCAACATAATCATTCGCCTCACCGTCCAATCTGACAGTGAATACTTTTGCCAAAAAAGCACAAAAACTTTGTCCAGCGGATCCTTTTAAATTAATTTCCAATGAATGCCTCTCAGGCAACCCTTCTTCTCCATAACGAATAGAAATCTTTAAAAATATTTATAAATTTTATTAATTATTCAAATACCTCGTAGCTAGGCCGGGCCCCAAAACAACGGTTTATATTGCCTATTATTCTTTCTTTGAGACTCACTTGTTTGATTGCTGACCTAATATTATTGTCTTTGGATTGATCCTTCCGATAACGTTCAGGTCTCTCACCACCTTCTCCTTTGTTGGATTTTGCACCGATCTTATTCATAGCAATCACTAATGATGTATAAGCTTCCATACTTATAACCCTAAACAAACACTTTTAAAATGGTTTGAGACATTTGAAAACAGTTACATGGAAAAAAGTGAATTAATCTCTTATTACTTTAACGCAATGTTAACACCAAATTAAATCAAAAATAAAAAGAACCCGAAAGACATTGCTCCAGTGACAAATCTTTTCACAATTTCTGATGCCGGTTCAACTTGATCCAATGGAATTTGAAGTTTAGTGTTTGTTTTAATTTCCAGTTGACCACGAAGGCTGCAAAGACGTTGAGCAAGATTTGAAGCTATCGCAAAATCTTGATAACTCTTGGCATCATTTAAACGATCAACAGCCTTTAAAAGTAAAATCTAAGATTTCTTTAGAATTTATAACCTGAAGTTTTGCTATGTTAACCGGGTCATTGACATGTTTTTCTCCACCATCGCGCCAATGATAGATTCCAGGACTTAACAAACCTTGCTATCACCTGAACAGAAAATTTTTGTAATATTAGCTGAAATGAATTTTAAGCAAACCATAAAGGTATAAATCACTATTTGGAACATTTGGATAGGCGACCCGATGGCTTCGAATTGCCTCCATCGCCAAAGTTTCAAAATCAGCACCGCCAAGCCGAGACACTGAATTAGTAAAGTATTTGTCAACTACTTCTCGACCCTGTCCAACAATTTCAAAAATTTGTGCACCCTAGAAAACATGTTAAAAAAAAGAAAAACTTATACAACCTTATAAGAATGTAAAGTACTAATTCCAATTTTTGCCACCACTTTATAAATTCCTCGTTCAATTCCTGCTTTATATCCTTGTACAACATCATCGTCTGTCACATTTTTATCCAAAAGTCCCATTGTTCTAAGTCGATAACAAGTCTCATATACCATACAGGGACAAATTGCATCAGCACCGTATCCAAGAAGAACACAAAAATCTAAATAAAATTTAAATGATTCATAAAAATACGTAATTATTAAACTCACCGTGAACTTGTTTTATTTGACCAGACTTAAATATGTAATAATTTATTTCAGTAATAATAAAATTAAAAAATTCTACCTCGATAATTAATGCAACTTTCATACAAAGTCGTTGTTTTATTAAACATATGTGGACGGCCCCAGTAGCCAGAAGCGCACTGAAATATAGAATAATTTTCAGTCCTTTTTCTTTAAAAATACAAATTACCTAATTGGAATGTAATCTTTGTCAACTTGTCTATCAGAAAGAATTAAAATTTGATAACCGTCTAGAGCTGCGGAACAAGTCTCACTAAAAATAAAATTCCTAAAAAGGATCAAACTGCTAAAAAAATACTTGCATATTCTGTCTAAAGCTGCCACCAAACCTCTCTGCCCATGTCTTGCTTGATAAACAATATTAATTACATATGAACGCCATCCCAAGTCATAAATTAACTAAAAAATATCAAAAATTTCTAAAAATCAAAATTTAACTTGTGCGAGATCATCAAAAATGTAAATGCCATGATAAAGAGGAGAGATGAGTCTAACTTAAAAGATAGTTTAAATTAGAGACCGGCACGGAACGGGACCCCATACGGGATTTTCGGGATCCCGTCCCGGAATCCCGGGTTTTTGGCGACAAACGGGATTACTGGATTAATCATGTGGGATCCTGTCCCGGTCGAATTTTGAAACACAATCCCGTTCCGGGATCCCGGGAATGCGATTTTTAAGGTTTTCCCGTTATAATTTATAAACTGCTAAACTAAACAAACCTCCATGAGTTGATTTTCTTGTAGCGGCAATTTCTCTCTTTACTTTGTAACCAGGAATTTCACCTGAAATTTGAAAAAAAAACAATTTGATTTTACAAAGAAAAACAAAACCTCCGTCGCCCAGCTTTGCTCCCTGAGCCATTTTTATTTGTACCTCAACGGAATTTGCCAGATAAGAGCTATATATCACGATTAAAATTCATATAACTAAAAAATCCGACCTATTAACACCAAAGCTGGCCGAAGCTACCATTTGTTGCGAAATTTAAAGGAATGATCCGTTGATGGGCACACAGGCAAAAAGCTGTTGAAATTAGGAAAGAAAGTCACAGGAAGGATCGATTGACGGGCACCCGCGCAAAAAAACTGTTGAAAATAGAAAAGCGAAAGTAGTGGCTTATAGTAGCAGAAAGGAGAGAAGCTTTGTTTGTTTGTTGTCTCTGCTCTAACTCTACAGCAGAGAAAGAAAAGAATTACTGCAGAAGCGAGAGAAAGTTTTTTAGCAGAAAAGAGAAAAGATTTTACAACAGAAAGGAGAGTAGAGTTTTTTGTTTGTTTGTTGTCTCTGCTCTACCTTTTCTCTGTCTGTGGGGGGTGGGTAATCAGCTTAAGTTAAATTATAATTTAAATTCGTTCAGCTACCCGGTGGCCGGGTCGGTAGTGTGCTTGCCTTTAGGCAGGAGGGCACAGGATCGACCCGGCCACCGGGAAATTAATTTTATTAATTTCGTTTTTAATAATGGCCTTTTGACTTGTTGGCGTTTTGTCCCGTTGCATTTTGTCGTGTGGCGTTTTGTCGCGTGGCATTTTGTCGCATGGCGTTTTGTCGCGTGGCGTTTTGTCGCGTGGCGTTTTGTCGGGTGGCGTTTTGTCGGGTGGCATTTTGTCAAGTGGCAAAATGTATTGAATTACGTCATCCTTATTTTCTCTGCCCGTCTCTTCAGGGGCGGGGCGATAATCAATCAATAAAAAGAAAGGGATGTTATAGTAGTTCTCAGGTACTTTTTCAATGATAAACTTCCCTGTTGTTGCCATCATTTTGAATTTTCGGTTAAATTCCGTTTCGTAGTCGATTTTTCGGTAATTATTTTTCAAATTTTTTGCCCCCTCACCGCTTTGGGTATTATTGAATAAATGGGGAAGTAGATTGCGGATGAGGAATCGCGGGCGTTTGTTCGCAGATGCCCCGTTTTGTCCATTGTTAAAAGACATTTTAGAATAGTTTAAATGTGAATTGCTTTGTTTTTGTTTTTATAATTCAAATGATTAAATAATTAAAAAAGAGGTGCTTTTATACTCCTCAGTTCAGAAATGTGGCACAATTAAGAAATATTTTCATGTCAAGGTCAAGAAAAATGTTATAGTTAAGCATGTATTTACGTAAAACTCATTAATCATTCATTGATCTTTTGAGTTAACTAAAATAAAAGGAAATTATTTTTATTCTTTTTATTTCAACAGTTTCAATCATTTTCAAGATGATTTTACTCCAAAACTTATAAATCATTTGGGTTTTAAAGGTAAAGATTCGGTAAAAGAAAAGTTTAAATTAAAAATTTGCTTTGGCTTATTTCATATTTCAAGGTCATTTGATCCTATAAAAATTTCAATAGGTTCAAGATTATTGCTTCCAAACCCCGACAATAACATGAAATTTTAAAGTAAATTTAAAACTCAATAGTCTTTTCGAAATTTTGAGATTTTAATAAATTTTAAGGTTTTAGAAAATTTCCACAAATATATGAGTTAAATTTTCATTAAAAGATATTTTTTGTAATTTTGGAATCTAATTAATTACTTATTTTCCCTCGATTCTTCTATACCACAATTTCTTCTATACCCCCCTAAAGATCAACATTTATTTATGTGATGATCCAAAGTAATTAATAAATTAAAGTTTTTTCTTCGTTTTGCATGTTAAATTTGATATTTCAAAAATTTTAAAAAAATCAAATAATTTTTGAAAATTATATGAAATCTTTTGTTAAAATTTTAAATTTATCATTTTCCTCATTTACCCTTATTTAATCAATATTTTTAGTTTTAAAAATTTTTACTTTTTTGAACTTTAATTTTTTAAATTTTTTTTTGTGTATTTTAATTTAAAAATTTTAACTTGCTATTAAAAACTTCATGTTTTTCAAAAAATTTATATATTTCAAAAATTTTTTAATTTCCACAAACAAATGAAAAGAAAAATTTACTCTGAAAAGAGTTGATTTGAATTTTTACCGCAAATGACCTTGCGAGAATAAAAGCCAATATAATTATTTTCCTTTATTTAATTTCTTCCTCCAGCCCCCTGCGAAAAGTGAACGAGAAATACATAAATCGGATAAAAGTTTGATTGCTTTTAATACATCTCCTCGCCCAAAACAATAAGGTTAACAATATAGGAATAATGGTGAAGGTTCGATTTCGCTCAGAGATTTAATTATTTTAAAAATTTAATTAGTTTTTGTTCATTGATCAAAGATTTTACATGTTACAATTATCACATCTGTCACTTATCAATCTAATAAATATTTAACACTTGTACCTTGTCACATGTCAATCAATCAAAATCATTTATCAACTGTCACATGTAGTTGTATCTTGTCACAACAATGACAACAGAAGGTTACAGCAGAGAATAAAGATAAGTGTACCAAATCCTTAGGTTTCCCTTTGTTTTCCGCCAGTTCCTCTCAAATTTTCCACTGTGACATGTGGGAAAGAGAGAAACTAAATGGCGGAAACTTACATCACCTTCCCCTTTGATCCACTCATTCAGTCGCAAATCCCCTCAATCAAAAGGTTTCCTTTTGATTACCGCCAGTTTCTCTCAAATTCCCCACGGAGCATGTGGGACATCAGAGAAATTTAATAGCGCAAACTTCTACCCCTTTCCCCTTTGATCACCTTCATTCACCCGCAAATTTGCGTGTACTTGTACAAGAAAAGGAGTCTTTTTGTTTACCGCCAGTTCCCAAATTTCTCACTAGGACATGTGGGACAACAGAGAAATTTAGTTACAGTTAACTACCCCCACTTCCCCTTTGATCACCCCATTCAGCCGCAAAATTGTTTGTACTTGTTGTCAAGGTCATTTCCTTCCCTCCACCCATCGGTCCCACTGGGACGGATGGGAGCAGAAAACCCCTTACACCTTTACACATCCCCCTCTCTACGCCTCACATGTCCCATTGCGACATGTGGGCGTATGGGGGGGGGTTTACTACTAAAAGGAGGAATTTTCTTCTTCAGAAGACGCATGGATTTTTATATAACCATAACTCTTTGAAGCCCTCTAAGCTTTTACTACCAGACTTTAGAACTCATCATAGTAATATATACTTGAAACGCTCATTTAGTTAAGTGCCTCTTCTCCAGCTGAAGAGACAATTAGCTGGAGCTTCTTTCTGCGAGTAACACTATGAGAATTTCAACTACATAAATCCTATAATATGTGCTATTCTGTCGAGCTCTCCATTAGAGAGTCCTTAATATAGCGCCTCCTTTTAGGAATTTATTAAGGTATCCTTCTAAGAGTTACAGATATGTGGCAGTTTACCCGATTTTTGCTTAAATTTGTCTGTGTTTTGTTAAAGTCTTTTGCTTCTCAAAAATATTTTAAAAAATTTTACGGTACGTATTCACTGCTTTGCTTGCTTTTTTTAACCTTTTACCTCGTTTTCTGATTTTCCTTAATTTTATAAAAATTTATTTTTAAAAATTAGATGAAGATTCACCACTTTTACAACTTCGAACCCTCGATGATTATACCCCGGCATTAAAAAATGCTGCTAGGGCGATTAGAAGGATTCAATTGCTAGTGGCTAGAAGGAAATTTAAAGAGGCTCTAAGGCCGTATGATGTTAAGGATGTGATTGAACAATATGCTGCTGGACATGTGGATTTACAAGCGAGGGTTAAACACGTACAACAAAGGTGAAATGAAATTATGATAATCATAGTTTACTAATCCCTAGTAACTATGGAAGGGAGTTGGAAATCGAAGGAAGGGAGTTGTAAATCTTTTGCAACTGTATGAAAGAGGAGATTTTGAGGCCCAATATCAGTCATTTTTGCGATTCGAACATATCTCTTCCATAAAAATTTTGCCACCTGAAAAAAGGAACTGAGAAGGTGCGCAATCTTGCAAAAATTTTAGCTCGCGTCTGCGCCTCTATCTTAAAGCCGAAGGGGGGTATTTCGAAAAATCCTAATTTATTTTGTTCCCCATTTAATTCTCTATTATTTGATTGAATTTTGACATTATTTGATTGAGTTTTAACAAAGTTATGATAAAAAAGGTGCGGGCAAAGACTTTCTAGTCACCCTGTAGAGTGCATTGTTCAACCTATATGACTATTACTTTCGGCAAAGTCAAAGAATATTTATAATGCAAATTATAATTTTAAATATTAAGCAAATTATAGTCTTCAGATTTTAAGATTTAAGAATATTTTTTTGATAATTTTACAGGCTCGACCAGATTATGGGAAGCAAGCCTAGCAAGGAGGACCTTAAAACATCTCTGGCTAATCGAGTAATGAAAATGGAGAGACAAGTTGAAAAGATTGGTTAGTAAATTTAATAATTTAATTTACTTAATATACAAAATATAATTTTTATTTAATTTTAAATTTTTCTTGTGTTGTTAGTTTGAAACTCTCCATTCATCATGGATATTTTTGTAAGGGAATTTTAATTCCCTAAGTAATAGAGCTTTCAGAGACCTATCATCATAAATAGTAGTACCGGTAAAATCGATTTTTCCGGAACCGGATCCGGATTCCGGATTTGCAACTTGAGCCGGACCGGATCCGGCCGGATTTTTCCGGATAAATCCGGTCCGGTTTTAATCCGGTAAAAATTATTTCCGGAGTCCGGCAGAAATTATCCGGATTCCGGACCGGATTTTGGATTTTTTTGAATTTTTCAAAAAAAATTTTCTATGACATTTTAGCGTTAAAATTTTGTAAGATGTGTGTCGTTTGTGTGTTAAAATGCTGTTAGGGGGATATCTAAGGATTTTGGAGGCTATGAAGGATATTTTGTGGATCTTTCGAGGTTAAAAGTTTGGAAAATAAAGTAATTCATGGTTGGAATTTTGAAATTTGCTCCTACCTTCGTACAGCCTATCTATACCTCGTACTCGTACCTGCCAATTTTTGAGCATTTTGGAGTCCAAGGAGCAATATTTCCTCCAAGGATCCTCTTAATCCCAAATCCCTTCCATGCGCCGCAGGCGAAAATGTTGAGAATTTTGAGGTCCTTAAGTCAGATTTCTTCCTTTTGCGCCGCAGGCGAAAATTTTGAAAATTTTTGAAGGCTATGAAGCCAGATTTCTTCCATTTTTCACCGCCGGAGGCGAAAATTTCGAGAATTTTGGAAGGCCTCAATAGAAAAAATTCTATTGTTAGGGCCGCAGGCAAAATTTTTTGAAGTTTAGATGGCCATGAAGCTTAGACTCTCCATACCAACCCTATTTTCGGCCTAGTACTGAAACTCAGTTGAGGTATATACAAGGGGAACTCAGTCGTGCCTTCCGGGTACGATTTTTGGAAGGCCAATAAAGAAGAATGCATCCCTTTTCAGCGCCGCAGGCGAAATTTTTTGAATTTCAGTATAGTTAGGGGTCAAAAATCCTCCTTTTTTATAAAAAATACAAGAAAAAATGGGAAAATTCCAGAACCGTATAAAATCCCAAATCCGGTGCTCAAAATTTGCCGGACCCGGATCCGGATTCCGGATTTGCAACTAGAGCCGGACCGGATCCGGCCGGATTTCTCCGGATTAATCCGGTCCGGTTTTAATCCGGAAATTTCAAAAAAACCCGGATTTGGGACCCGGACTCCGGAAAAATCCGGCCGGATCCGGTCCGGCCCCGGTCACTAATAAATAGGTTCCACGCAATTGACAAAACGATTTCGCAACTGCAATTCGCAGAAAGACTGACCGCATTGCGTTATTTACGTTAAATTTTGGCAGATATATGTCGGCGGCCAAATTACATTTCAGGACAAATTCAAATTGGCCGGCCAAATTGAATTTGTCCTAAAATGTAATTTGGCCGCCGACATATATAAACCCGACCCAAGTATAGAATCGTGTTTAAACTTTGGATTTTAATTCTAATCTTTATGCAACTTGGAAGTCGAAAATCAGAATTTCAACCTAAATTAAAAAAATTTACACTTATTATCTTTTTCAACTTAAATTAATGATCAAATTTAAGAAAACTAAATATAAATATTACAAAAATTTTGTAAGATCATTAGTATGTATTAATAAAATAAATTTTAAGACAAGAAATTGGATTTGTTGGTGGAAATGTTTTTGGAGGAGAAAAGGATACGTTTGGTCGACAAAGGTATTAAAACCGGTGGTGGTTTTGGTGGGCATTCTACCGGAAATTCAAATAATGCTACTGGACATCGTTCTATAAGTCTTCGACAGGCATTCTCTCCCCCTTCCAGAGGATATCAGTAAGTGAAATTTTATTAAAGATAGAGTCGGAGTCTTAAAATATGATTTCACAGTTTAAAAAAAGGCTATGGTCAAGGGAGGGTGTTTCTTTAGACAGATTTCCTGAACCAGAACAAGAGTTGTTTTTAAAATTTAGATTTATTAATTTTTCAAATATGTGACTGTGGCTAAAAAGGAGAAAGATATAAAAAGATTTTCTATTTTATATTTTTGGCTTGCCTAAGTAATCTTATAGCTAATCGAGTAAATACAGGGGGAATTATTTGAGGGAGAGGAATTATTCGAGTTTTGAAATTTGAACGTGGGGGAGGGGGATTATTGTTTCAACTCATCCGTAGTAGGGGAATTATTCGAGAGACGGGAATTATTTGAGGGAGAAGAATTAATAGAATAAATACGGTATCTGTTTTCAATTTTCGCATATTTTTTTGTTCTGAAAAGACTACCAGAACACTATAGAGATTTAAAATCAGAGTAATAAGGGAGGGTTAACTCCAATTTAGAGGGAGATGATTAAATCTTAAACTAAGCAACTTCTTAATTTCCCCCTTCAGACAAAAAAGCTCAGCTCCCGAATTTCAACCTCCTCGTCAGTCAATGTCATCAACACTTTTGCCTTGTTCCTCCTCCAGCGTCCCAAAAGTGCCAATATCTCCACATAAACAGCTCCAATTAAGTCAATCACTAAAATTACAACAACAACAATCTCAGAAGAAACAACAAAAAATTCCGACTTTGAGACAGTTGGACAAAGTTGGAACTCAAATACCTTCTTCATTGCCTATCAAAACTAACCAGAAATTAGAGACTTCAACAGCTAGGAAGGATAAAGACGAGGAAGAAGAGAATATTCATGGAGAGGATGAGCCTTTAATAAGAGGCTCAAAAAAGGGGATTGGACCTCCAGCTCCGAATGATTCTATTGTATAAACTAGAGAGCCTTATTATAGGTGTTCCAGGCTGAGAATTAAAAGCAAGACCAGAACGAAAAAACCAAGAAAAGTGTTGAGTCAAGACTTAAGACAATAGGCTTTGAAAGTCCTGCCTTAACATTACATTAATCATAGTTTGATAGGAACTAGAGCTTCGCCGGAAGTTCCGGTAGGCCTTTTTCGTTAAGTTCCGGGATTTTTTGGTTGTGGTTCCGATTCCGGCCCTTCAGTTCCAGTTCCGGGCTTCCAGTTCCGGTTAAACAGGAACTTTTTAACACCACAAAGGATTGATTTCTCATTTATTACTAATACATACATAGGAATCATAATAGCTTGCTGAACGATATCAGTTGTTTCATGTTTCTAAATAGAGCTCGGATTTATATTGAAATTATATTGAAATAAAATGGCAAATAATGACAAAATATGACAAAACATCTAACTCTTGACTAAGATTTGCTCAACAAGACTTTTTAGAATGATCCATCAGTTTATATTACTGTAAACAGTGATGAGGCTAGTTCCTAATAATTTTCTGCTCTAACTCGCCGCTCACAGAGGATGAGCGATAAAAAATAAGGTTCTCTAGTTCGGGCTAAAAACATTTTTCGGAAGATACAGGTAATAATTCCTAGTTAAATAATCTCACTAATCTATTGTAATGCCTAACTTCTCCAAGATAATATCAATGTTCTAGTGTTGCTGAAATATGTTTAATACGTAGTTTTATTTTATTCTTTTACTTAATGTTTTATAATTGTTTTTTAAAAATATTTTAATAAATTTGTTTTGTTAATTTAATTTGTTGAAGTAAAGCAGCTGGGCTATAACTATTACTCTTCTTTAGCTAGTGCAAATGTTAATCGCGACTGGGAGCGAACCAGCATCTTAATTATAACGGACTGAGGTATTAGCCTTTACACCACACCGCCTACTGCATAGCCTTAGGAATTAAATAGCTATATGCTTGACAATAATAACGTCGGATCCTATACTTGGAAATTTCAATTTGCCGTACACATACATTATACAACCACTTGAAAAATTTTACTTGAAAGTTTACTTATGAGAAGGGTAGTGATTCGGTTTGTAAACGAGCTAATAATTTTTGTTTCTTTTTGGTTCTGTCCTCGGTATCGAAAGTTTTCAAGAATCGACAGCTTTACATTAGCTATCCTCTCCGCGGCACTAAATAACTCACTCCACACAACCCCCCATTAATACATTATTTAAAAAAGTTTTTTAATTTTAAAATTTAATTTTAATTTATTAATTTAAAACTTTAATTTAAAAAAATTCGATAGTCGCGCATTTCTTAAGCATGCGCTTCTCGAGGCATCTATTTAAATTCATTCAATAAAAATTTTTTCTTGCCTTTAAAATTTTTTCCGACAACCACGAGTTTTGAAGAGAGGGAATTTAAATAAAAAGTCATATGTAAAGGGCAACACGTGCTATTTGGGCAGCTAAAAGTCGTATTGGAGGGGGGGAGAGGGAAGAGAAGAGAGGGACTTTGAATGGAGAAGGGAAGGGAAGGGGGGAGTGGAGGGGGAGAGGGTGAAGAGATGGGAATGGAGGGAGGGATTTTAAATAAGCGCGAGGGTCGTACATATACAATTGAACATTCACTAATGAAGGCACTTTAAAAATTTTTTTAAAAATTCTTTAAATAAATTATCCCCTATAAAAATTGTTTTTCTCTTAATAAAAGTTTTTATAAAATTTTATTTAATTTAATAGAGAATTTGTTGAATTAAATTTTTATTAGGGAAAACTATAGAAAAGTTATATGTAGGTAACAAGGAATAAGCAAGCAGGGATAGGTTATAGGTCCAAGAAGTTTATAAGAATTCTTATAAAGTTAATATTATTTTTTCTTTTTGGGTTTCAAAATGTGCGCTAGTCTTCATAATATTTTTGGGCAAAGGCCTAATGCCAAACATATTTGTATGGCTAACATGATAGGTTTTCTGAAAATTTTAAAAATTTACTATGCCTAATAAAATTTATTAAAAGAATAGCGAATTCTATGTAGTCAATTGGGTACAAGTCCCTACCTCAAAAATTTTTAGGCGCATAAGTTCAAAATTGAAACCAAAAGAAAATCCAGTATACAACTTTATGGGACCTAATAAACAATAAATAATTTTAAAATTTAAGAAAAAATCTAAAATTTCTCAAAAAGGCATGAAGATTAATTTCTTTGTGCTGCTGTTTATAGCTATATTTATTCCTTTGAACATTGTGGCCATTAGATATGGTTATGATAGTGAAGATGATTCCTTTGAGGAAAGAACATCTAAAAGCCGCAAAGTAAATTACCGTCATAATTATAGTGAAGAATATGAAGAACATTATTATTATGAAGATGAGGAACCAGAGAAACCGGAACCGAAGGCAGAAGAGCCTAAACCTGAGCCGACTGAGAAATGGACTCTTGGTATGGATTTAAAAATATACCCTTATAATAGGGTTGCCCTTGATTTTCTAAAATGCCGAAAAAAGTGGCAACCCAAGAAGGGTCTTGATTCAATTATCAATCCCAAATTCTTGGAAGGTCTCAGTCGCAAAAATTTTATATGTAGTTGTTTATACACTTGATTCATTCGGTTTACCAAACCAATTTTATACCAAAAATATACAAAAATATACACCAGATAATCTAAGTTAAATTAATTTCACTCGAGTTTTTTTTCAAAAAAATCTTCAAAAATTCTGAAAAATTTATTTGGCCAGATCTGGATATGACATATCCTACCATACCCTCTTTATCCGTATATATCTCAGAAATCTTGAATTTTTTATAATACGCTGAAACATGTCTAACGAGATACGAATCAAGCTTTTGAATGGTATTTAGATTATGAATGACATGCGTGTTAACTATGATTTACATTTAAAACAGCGAGAACTTTTGGGACACAGTAGTAGTGATGCTCGGGTATCACGACTCCCCACTCGGGAAAATTTCCCGAGTTTTTGACCTCCCGATCCCGACTCCCGAGGTCATTTCCCGACCCGACTCCCGTTTTCCCGGGTTTTTTCTTCTCCCGAGCATCACTACACAGTAGTATCAAGGATCAAGCCGATCATACTTTTAAAATGGGCAATTTATTTCTTGCCGCCTTTTTATGGCTTATTAATTTACTAATATTCAGATGAACTCAAAGTAAAGTTCTTTGTAAAAAAAGAAACTTTTGTTCCTGATGTTGTAGACTTTATAAAAATATTTAATGAGAGAATTCAAAAAAGTACTGCAATTGAAGCTCCACACGCAATCTTCAACAAATTGCCCAAGCCCAATGAGTCAAAGACAATAAAGGGCTGGTTGGATGCAAAAACTGTGAACAAATGGGAGGATCAGCCTGAAGTATCTTCCGCATTTGAGAAGATCAGGGGAGAAATGGAGAAAGTATATAATGTGTCTAAATGGGAAAAGCCTATTAAAATCAAAGAAAAGGAAAAAGGTGTTTAACTTCATTAGTCTTTATCCACTTGAATATTAACTATAAAGCCGATATATCTGATCAACCCCTCAACCCCTGTCGACCCGGAGTTTTAAACTATAGCTAGCATTAATTATTAATAGGATTATGTCATGGTTGGATGTAGTAAAACAGCTGTGCTATAGCTACTTCTCTGCTTTAGCTAGTGCAAAAAGTTAATCATCGGATGGGAGCGAACCAGATCATCTTCCGTATACCGGACTGATGTGTTAGCCATTACACCACGAGGCCTACTGCACAGCCTTGGGAATTAAATAGCTATATGCTTTACAATGTATATTGACGAGTAATATAGTGATCCGGGATCCGCAACATCCTATAGATCCGGGCCTAAATTGTAAAATCCGAAACCAAATTTGTTAACTAAACAATTCATCAAAGTTTATTCTAATGCGGGAATGGAACCTGTGACCTTCTGAATTCTTATAGATCATTAGACACCGCAATTACATGGTTCCCTCTGTAATGAAACTAAAAAATGTTAGGCTTCATTTTCCTTCATGTTTTATCCGCTAAGCGGATAGGGTATCTGAGGCTTCACAATAGAAGCCGGATCATTATTTACAAAACAATGATCTACTTTAATTTAGTCCAACAAAAGCAGTTCTGGCACAAAGCATTATTTTTAATTGACGCTCTTTTTCAACTTTATGACAAAGTCTTGACTGACTTAATCACGCTGGTTGATAAAAACAATGAACAAGTTATCGGCGAGATTTGTGGGGATAAAGTTAAAGATTTAGACAAGGAAAAGAACTGCTCAAAAGGACTAGAGGAACTTAAGAAAATGAACACGAAAAATATTGAAAGTGTTGATGATTTTTATCAACTCCATGACAATTTTGGCAAGTTTTTTTTCTGATTTCTATGATAGATAGAGAATAAATAAAAATTTTTTAATTGGCAACACACAAGTTGAAGAATATGAGTAGTGAGGGCGGTTCAGGATTATTCGAATATCCGCAACAGAACCGAAGAACCGAACCGAACCGAAAAATCCTCAGTTCTTTATTTCAGTCCAGAACCGACAACCTTATGTGTGAGCCCAGTTTATATTATACATATTATGAGCATTTGCGGCTGAAAAAATTGTACATTAATCTCTCCCAGCCAAGTGATCAAAAACATAAAAAAGTATATCTCATTCTGTTATTACTTGGACATACCGTAGTCAATGACATCGAGTAGAGTTTGGTGTAATACCAGGGATCACTGGTGTATCAGGGGCGGCAAAAGCTCACCTCTCGTGTATATGTATTGAGAATATCTATGTTCTAGCTCTTGTAAAAAATTTCCGTTTAGTTGAACAAACAAAAGCTTGGAACGAATTTAAAGAGAAAATCAAAAATATTTTTGCCGTTGAGATTGTACCCCCAAAAATAACATTCGAAAAGCAAAAGGTGAAGTTTACGCTCAACAAAAAAGAATTCTTTCCCGAGATTGTTGACAAAATAGAATTTTACTATGGGAAACTTAACAGAAAGGATAAAGTAACTGATGCCGCTGAAACAATTTATGCATTTCCGAAATTGCTTCGGGATTGGCTGAGAGAGAAAACAGGTAATTGGAAGGAGCAACCTGAAGCTACCAAAGCTTTAAATTACATAAAGGAGGAGATAACCAAGATTTATTCGTTAAAGGAGAATATAACAAGATTGCATGGTAAGAATTTTATGTTAACAGTCTATTTTTTCTATGCAATGTAAGGGAATATCTCCCAGCCTTTTCTGGCCTGGGGTTTAAGATCTATTTAAAAAGGAAGGTAAAAACACCTCGGTAGCTCAGTCACATAAATTCTACAAATGATATCTATACATTGTCTTAGACACATTTTTAACGAGAGAGATTCGGATGTATGTATTGAATCGTTACGGATCTGATTGCACATATTCATTTAATAGGAGATTTAACAACCTTAATGGATCCACAAAATCTCCAAAAAATATTTTTATTCGATCGGTGACTCTCAAAAATTTGTTTAAATAAATTAGTTTTTCATTCAGTTTTCAATGTTAAAATGCTTGCAAAAAAATTTTTTTTAATTGTTTTTATTTAGTTCTATTGAATGGATCAGCCATGGTCACGGATACTGATCTTGGTATCCGTATCCGCATATTTACGGCGGATACAGAAGGCGAATATCCGCAGGCATTTTGATATTATTTGTATCGATATCCGTATCCATGACCATGCCTGGATAGATTAACAATAAATTTTAAAAAATTTAAAATTTCCAGCTCATAAAAATATGCCATATCACATGTTTTTGCTTGAAGCCCTCTTTGAACTTTTCGAATCAATTTTTGCTGAAGCAAGAAAGCAAATTTCAGCTGAAAATAAGGCTGTTATAAATCAAATTTGCGATGAAAAATTTGTCGGAAATGAAGAAGGAAAAAGTGTTATTGAAAATTGTGTTGAGTCGTTAAATGGTTTAAGCACAAAGCTTGAAAAATGTAATGTGAAGATTGGAAAAGTTTTTTCTGCAAGTAATTTTTAATTTATTTAATATAAGAGGGGAAATCCAAACTTTGCTTCCGAAATGTCCTCTTGGAAAATGTTGAGCTTCGATTTACCTGACTAAAAAATTGAACGGGTATTGAGCATCAGGGCTGGGCGGAATCGAAAAAAAGATACCGCAACTCGCAATCCGCAACTCGGAATTTTTTTAAGAATCCGCGCTCGCACGCCGCATCTTGCAATTGCAAAGAACCCCGCAATTTATGCAATTTCTGCAACTCGCAAACCGCAATTGCGCCCAGCCCTGTTGAGCATTCCAAAATAAATACTTTTAAACCCTTGGACCTTTGAGAACCTTTTGGTTATGTAATATTGTGAAAAATATGGGAACGGTTTGGTAGGGTGTTTTTCTAATTATTTTAAAAAGTTCAAATTTTACCCAATAAACCGGTTTGATCAAAGTGCCCCTGAACCTTTGGAAGTTCCTTGAACCTCTAGACTCAGACCAATTTACGTGTAATTAAAGGGGAGCGGTTAAATGGTTGGACCCCGCTGCCCTCTGCTACCTCGCGGGGTGACTAACTACTGTTTAACAATTCTAACAATTTACAGAATTTAAAAACCATTTTGACAAATGGGATGATTATTCAAAAAATATCAAAGGAAAATTTGAAGTTGAGCTTGATGCAGGTGATGCACCTGCACCTCCTCCAGAGGCTCGGAAGGTTAAAAAGGTTTTAAAAAGGAAAGTTCAAGGCCGTGGAAGAGTCGAGTATTTGGACCCAGAAGGTTTTGATTTCAACCAAGAGCTTGAGTTCCATCCTGGTTATTATTTCCCACGTCATTCCCCACGTCGTCATATGCGCCACAGAGGTCCATTTGAAGTCAGAGGGAAATACCATATAAAATCACGTTCTAAAAAAGTCTAATATAGACGAAAGGCAACTGACAATTATGGTGAGAAGTAAATTTGATTGAATGAGAATTGATATTTTTTGATTTATACATGGTTGAAACCAGAGTTGGGGTTTTTTTATTTCAAAAATTTTCAAAACAGGCGTAGTTTCGCCTATTTTTTTCTGAGCTCCGACACTTATATTCTATTATAGTACACAAGCTGTTGAAATTTAATAGGACATGAAATAGAACTGAGATTGGCATTGCTTAAGAGCACAACCGACTGTGCCATTTTCCATCAACTTCTGAATTATGTTTAGACAGTTGTTAAGATTACCTAACTCTGGTTGAGACATGCAAATGGTTTAAAATTATTTTTCAATTTGTATTTATCTACCACAAAATTTTGACGATGAGCTGTGCTGACAAAGGTTGGCGGATAGTTGAAAATCTTCGGATATCCGGATCCGATATCCGAACCAAAAATTTCCGGATATCCGGCCTTCTTTCGGATTTGAATCCGCCAACCTTAGTGTGACATGCTCTCTGATACATACCGTATTTTCTCGATTAATTCCCTGGGGAATTATTTTTTCAACCCATCCGTGGCATGGGGAATCAATCGAGAGGGAGGATTATTCAAGGGAGGGGAATTATTCGAGAAAATACGGTATACAAAAATATTGTTCTGGCAGTTCAGGTAATTTGCGCCTTAAGATTATCCCTATTAAAGGTCACAAAGTTAAACTGTCTGAGATGTTCAGTCTGTATGGACATCTGAATTGAACTGAACTGTCAATATATCATTTAAACACAGAGCCCAATGTTTTTAATTTTAGGAACGATCAGTTTTTAGATTGTTTTATCAGATAGATAATTTTGGCTCCAAAATTTACAAAACAAAAAACATTGGTCTCTATATTTACTACCACATTTACCAGAAACATTTATGGAATTGTATATAAATTACAAACCCAGGGGTCTATTCCACCAAACGACTTTTACTGTCACTGTCGACAAAGAGAAATGTCAAAACAAATTAGCGTCAATGATAGTTAGATTACACGTAAAAAGAAGTCAAAAAAACTTAATGTCGGGAAGAGTGAGTGAAAGTAAGGAAAAATGTGGCAGCGAGGGTTCGGTTGTGTCGCACATTTTAGCAACCTTGACAGTCTTTAACTGCGTTTATTGTCTCTTCCTTATTATCTTTAACTAATTTTTTCCCTAATTTGTGTCGACAGTAACAGTAAAGTCTTTAGTGGAATAGGCCCTAGATTAACCACAAAAACACCACACCACATCTTATAAAATTAAGAGAAACCAGAATTTCTATTTTTATTTAAATTTATGTTTTTTAAATTTTTTAAAATGTAAAATTTGTTTGATATTCAAGCTATGTTCACTTTCCAAACTACCATATTTAATTAATCTGTATAAAGAAAATAATCATTATGGTAGCTTGTAAAGTTTACAGTATTTTTTAAATATTTTTAAACATTATTTTCATCTAAATATACCTCATTATTTTTAAAATTTCGGTTTTACGAGATTTATTATAAATGCTTTTATTTTTCATATAAATTTTTTTTGGTAAATTATAGTAACTCTATACATTATTTATTAAAAATTACGGATACAAATTAGGATGCATGAAGAAATGAAGAATAATATAACGATTAATGAAGCTAAAGAAGCTGAGAGTAAGTGTGTTAAAGTAAAGTGTTAACAGTAGTTAACAGTAGTACTTTGTTCAGAATAGTCGAATCCGGGGATCAGTATTGTTCGAAACAGCTCGTCTTTCGATTTTTGTATGTTTTAGAAAAATCTTTTAGGAGTGCTCTTAAACATTTCATAACATTGTTAGGAGGTTGCTTAATCTATTTATTAACAATTAGTTAGCTTATTAGCCTAAAATGGGGGGGGGGTCGATGTCGATGTCCAAAAGATTTCTACAGTGTGTCAAGATAAACAAATGATATCACAGTTGTGTATTTCGATAAATTTTTTTAAATATTTTGTCTAAAAATTAAACAAGGAAAATTTAATAAAAGTGAAAGATAGTGGAAAGTAAAGATCGAACCGAGACAAGATGTCGATCAAAAATGACGGTTATCGAGATCGATATATTTTTTTCGAGACTGTCTAGTCCGATCTCTAGTGGAAAGATACTTTTCATTAATACAAGAAAAAATTATCCATTTTATGATTCGAGAACTTCATTCAAATAATCCAGAAATTTCTCATCTTCCAAAAGATTCAGATCAACTAAATCGTTCCAATCATTTAATTGTTGGTTGAAATGCCCATCTTGAATATTTTCTTGTTCATTTTCGCAACAATTATTCTGAGGATTAACGGATGGTGGTCCTTCCTCTCTATGAGAAGATTGAATTGGGGTATCCTTTTGTAGATAGGATACCCCAATATCATTTTGTTGAGATTCTTTTTCAATTTTCTTTCTTAATCGGTATTTTCTCTTATATTCTCTACTCCTTTCGTTTAACCTTTTTTTATTTTCTTGATAATATTTTTTTGAAATTTGAGATCTTTTTTCTTTATTTTTAATATTGTAATTTCGCTGTCTTCGACAAATTTTTTCCTTATTTCTCTGATAATAATCGTTATCATATTTTTTTCTTTTTAACCCCTTTTCTCCTTCATCATTTCCTGTTTTTTCCTTTTTTGGAATATTATGTTTCGGTTTTATCGTTTCTTTGTATTTTTGAATTTGAGAAACAGCCGATGATTCAGCCCCATCATTTAATATTTCAGTTAAATCCTTTGAAATTTCCTCAACTCTAGTTAAATCGTTTTGATTTTTATTATTTTTAACAGAATTAATTAAACTCCATAATATCGAATTGAAAATTAAAAAGAATAAAATATTAACAGATTTCATTCTAAATTAATTTTTAAAATTTTTTAAAAAATAATTTTAATATTAAGTAAAATGATTAAGTAAATTCTTTTTTTCTTGAACTATTAATATTATTTTATTTAGCTTAAAGTTTCATTAACTAAGCCAAATTACTTAATGCCAGACAATTATGATATCTCATAGGACATCTTTTAAATATTTCCCTTTAAATTTTTAAAAATATGGGAAAAAATATATAGGTATTCTTTGAAATGAAAGTACAAAATAACGAAATATTGTTTGTTATTTCATTTCAAAAATTATAGAAAGCGGGAAAATTTTTTATTGGTTTCTTTTAAAATAAGTAGTATTTCATATCGCAAGTGAAAATTTTAAAATACTCGAAAGGTTATGAAGACAGATCCCACGCATTTTTAATTCGGTCGCTCTGTCTTCAAATGTTCTTTGGCCAGACAGAAGCCAAAAATAAACCGGCCAAATGGAGGAGTTCGTCACTAAAAGAAACAGAACATCAACAAATTTATTCGGTTATACATAAATGCGTAGTTTTCTAACTGGAACGCTAAAATTTTAGTGCTCACTGCACCTGTAAATTAAAAAGAATTTATGCTTACGGCGCTGAAATTAAGCTTAAGAAACACCAACTCAAAAATTTACCCTGCCAGCGAACCCCGACATGCCCTTCCCGGCAAACCCCCGATCCCCGACACTTCTGACCCCAAAGGCTCGGGGAGCTATCCTACTTTTCAAACACGGCTAAAAAGATTAATATTGATTTGATTTTAAAAAATTATTAGAAATAGTAATTTTAGAATAACAAAAAATAATCTAGAAATAATTTTAAACGGAACTTGTATTCCAAATGTCAATTATCCTGAGCCAAAATATTACATAATGTGGGACAATTTATGAAATCTCAAAGGGCAATCTCAGACCAAATAATCTCATACAAAATATCTCAACGGAAATGCAATTGTTATTTTATAGATATAATGAAAATAAAATAAATTTCTTTGAATGGAAAGTGCATAATAGAGTAAAGAAAAAAATTAAAATCTAGACGAACACAGGTCTCTCATAGCTCATTGTCCTTTATAACTGACACTGTTGATCTTGTCAGTTGAATATAAAACAAAATTTAAATTTATTAATTTAGTTAATAACTTTTTATTAAGAATTTTAAAAATTAATTTCGATGAACTTTATTACTGTTTTAATCTTTTTAATATTTATTTCGATATTATTGAGTTTAATTAATTCTGTTAAAATTGATAAGCGCAAAAATGAATTAAACAAAGTTGAGAACCCCTCAAAGGATTCAACAAAGTTGATAAATTATGGGGCCGATATAAATCATCGGCCGATCATCAAACTCAAAAATATAAAGAAAAGTTAAAAACAAATCCAAAAATTTTAAAAAGTGACAAAACTGTAAATAATGGAGAACAGAAAAAGGAGCAGCCTAACTTACCGCAGAGCTATAACTTCGTTCAGAATTGTCGAATCCGGGACGCCCTGGTATAGTTCTATGCAACTCGACGAGCTGAATCGAATCATACCATGGCGTCACGGATTCGACAATTCTGAGAGAAGTTATAGCTCTGCGGTAAGTTGGGCTCGTTGTAAGTTGGGGTGTAATCCACAGAAAAAGTTGATGAAAAAAGAATATGATAAAAATTATTATTTGAAGAATAAAGATAAAATAAAGGAAAGGAGAAATTCTGAAAATTATAAACAACTTAGAAATGAATCTCGTCAAAGATATGCCTATAAAAACACAGAAAAGGTGCAGGTTTATAATAAAGATTACTATCAAAAGAATAAGGAAAGATTGGGAAAGAAAAATCGAGATTACAATCGAATGAATAAAGAAAAGTGTATAGAATATGTACGAAAATACCGACAAAAAAAGAAGTACGAAAAAGAATTTCTTCAAAAAGATAGTCCCAAATTAAGAAAAGAGCAATCTGGAAATAATGATGGAGCTTATTTTGTTAATCCAAACAAAGATAATTTTATCAATAAGGATAAATCACCAATTGAGTGTGAAGATAATGCCAGGTTAAATAATAATCAGAGGAATGAGAATTCAGAAATAAAGTCATTTGGTAATCCACAGACGGGTGATTGTGTAAATAATTTATATGGAAATGTTCAACCAGTAGATGGACATATTTTATGTCAAAATGATTATCAAAAGGATTTGGTAGATCTAAGTTTTTTGGATGATCCGGATTTTTTAAAGGAACTAAATTCTTGAACACAGTTTAGATCAACAAATTGATGATTTGGATTTTAAACATGATAACACAAAAATATTAACTTTTTCTGTAATTTATCTTTACCAGATAAAAATAGCAAATATTTATTAAGTTTGAAAGGTTGAAAAACTGTTTGTTGAAAAATTATTTTTTATCACTTTGCTATCAGTTTAAGACAAGATTCGTTTTACATGTTTAGTAACCAAAATTCCTACTGGTGACCAAAATTTCAGTGCCCAATATTCCGTTTTTTGACTTGGTGACCAAAATTTCCGCTAGTGACTAAAATTTCGAAAAGTTTGTGACCAAAATTCCGGTATTCCACGTCACTTAAACATTTCTTGTATAATTTACCCAAATAACTATAATTTTACCCTAAAAATTTATACATAAGAAAAATAAAAGCATTTGTAATAAATCAAGTAAAAAGTAAATAAATTTAGAAAATAAATGGTAATTTTATGAATAATGTTTCAAAAATATTTTTAAAAAATAATAAAGTAAATCTTACTGTAAACATTCAAAACTACCATATTGACTTCTCTATAAATAAAAAAATATGGTAGCCAGGAAGGTGAACATAGTTTGAATATCAAACAAGTTAGTTATACAATGTATAAAATTTTAAATAAATAATAAAAAATAAATTTTGGCTTTACTTAATTTAATAAGATGTGGTGTGGTGTTTTTAGTGGTGAATCTGGTTTACAAATTCATATACAAACCAGAAATTTTACAAACCGATTTTCTAAAACGAGGTACGAATTTAAATGGACATGGAAAATGACGGAAAATTTGCCTGTATCATTAAAAATAAGGAGAAAAGGTGAAAAAACGTAGAAACATTTTCGTCAAAATGTGGTAGTAAAAGTTGGTGCCAATGTTTTTAGTTTTGTAAATTTTGGAGCCTAAATTAGATTTATAATTATATTGGAAAAATAATCTGATAAAGTAATCTATTAACTGTTAGTTCTAAAATTATAAACATTGGGCTCTTTGTTTAAATGGTATAATGACAGTTTAATAAGAATTTAAATTAGCTATATACAGGTTTTTCTCGATTAATTACTCTGTTTAATTACCCTTTAACCTTAATGCTGGCGGGAATAAAAATATAATGCGAGCTATTATTCCAGAGGCATTATTCCATTTTACATATCCCAATCAAAGTTGGGATGCTAAATAAAGTTATTTTTCGATAATCATACATACAGTCATCGACATAAAGATAGGGGCAAGTGTAAATGAAATGAAAATTGACTATTTTTCAGTCAAAAAATACGTTCTATATAGCAATCGAAAGCTCTATTCGTATCTCAGTTGACATGTTTCTGCATTTTTCATGAAAATGAAAATTGGCCGAGATAATCCGGATCTACCGGATATACCAAATCCCACTTTTTCGGAAAAATTTTTCGGAAAAAATTTAACAAACCCATTTGATAAAGAATATTTTTGTGAGTATTTACCAAAAAACCGCTTAGAAATATCTTTATCCGTTCCAGAGATATGATTTTTTGAAAATGGCATTTTTCCCTTAAAAATTGAATTTTTTGCAAAAATAGGCGAAAAATGCCATTTTCAAAAAATCATATCTCTGGCCCGGAAAAAGATATTTCTAAGCGGTTTTGTGGGAAATACTCAGAAAAATATTCTTTATCAAATGGGTTTGTTAAATTTTTTCCGAAAAATTTTTCCGAAAAAGTGGGATTTGGTATATCCGGTAGATCCGGATTATCTCGGCCAATTTTCATTTTCATGAAAAATGCAGAAATATGTCAACTGAGATACGAATAGAGCTTTCGATTGCTATATAGAACGTATTTTTTGACTGAAAAATAGTTAATTTGCATTTAAATTACTCTTGTCCCTATCTTTATGTCGATGACTGTAGATATATCGAGAAAATTCCTAAAACGTAATTGAAAATAATTTTAAAAATTCAGGGATCGAAGGTCGAAAGGAGATCCAATATTTGAAACGGAATTTTAGAGATACGTATCTGTTATCCGAAAATTTACGGATATCCGGCCTTTTCGGATCCGGATATCTGGATCAGGCAATCCTAATGGAAAAAAAGGGTGTGGCTTAAAACCATAACCAAACCATTTATAAGTTCCAAAAATAACATACAGGGTGCGTAAAAAGTTCCCGGAATTAATCAAAACGGATTTATTTTCTCTTATATCAAAATAAAAATAAGTTTACAAATACATAACGTTTATAATAATCTTGTAAATAAATGGTCAAAACAAATTTTCAAAATGAGATCCGCCCGATGAGATACACGCATCCAAACGCTTACGAAAAACTCTTGAATGGTCGCGCAACCCTCTTCTGTTATTGATGCCTAGGGTTTTCTGAACCCAAAAATCGTGCTAAATATGATTATGAACGAATTTTGTTGTAATATTCAATGTTTCACCCCAATAATTGAAATTTAAAAAATTTCGGGAACTTTTTACGCACCCTGTAATTGATAGAAAATATGAATGAAAAAGATTTTTAAGGGAATAGTAAGTTTAAAAATTACAGTTTAAAATTTGAAAATAAAGCCTCAAAATAAATTATCCAACAATAATGCAGGGTAAGCTGTTCCCAAACACTTTCCCTTGTCACAATTTTTTGTATTACTTGTAACAACCATTTTGGTATTTAGCAACTCAAACTGGCAAGCTTGATAGCCAGGATGTAGAATAGAGCATACAGTAAATAGAGTGAAGTCAAAGGCTGTAAAATATTTAATTAAAATTAGAAAATAATTTTAATTATTAGAAGAAAATTTTACAAAAAATATTTAAAAAAAATTTTTGAATATTATTTTAAGTGTTGGGTATGTGCTTAGTATAAAAGGCTGCGGCTGCCATTCGTGTGTTAGCTAGTGTTATTCTTAGTCTTATTCTAGTGCTCCACATATTCGACGTCGGACGTATTCCTATCGTTCGTTAGTATTGTATTTAGTCTTGTAGATAAAGCACAGCTGATAGTTACTGTCTTATTTTGTTATTCTTGTTAGTACGTAGACATACAAGTCACATACATAACGTTAAGTATCAGAAAATTAAAAATTAATTTAATATAAAAAATATTTAGCAATTTAATATCAAATTATAAACATTTTTGCCAGAATTTTAAAAATTTCAATAAATTTACCCGGTGAAGTTCGCAAGAAGAATCCGCCCATACGCTTTAAATATCCCTTCCATTCATACTGGAATGTCCCCAGAATATCATTATTTTGATGCTCAAAATATCCATGGTAATTAATTTCTCCCGCTTTTTCTTGTAAATAAAAACGCAACCAATTATGATGTCCCTCAACACCAATTCCATCATTCCACTCACCGCTGAACACATGTTCAAAACCTTTAAAATTAGGTAAGTGTTCTAATTAGGTAAGTTTATAAGTAGGGTTGTCCAAGATATGCACAGAAAATACCAAATATGCGCAATATTTGGAGCGAAAAACCCAAAATTTGCACTGAAATATGCAGAAAAAATAGTCAAAATGTGCCGAAAAATTCAAAAATATGCATTAAGAACCAAGTCATAAAGTGCTCGAACCATTGTAAAAACACACTTTTTGAGCTTCCCACTTTAAGTCATATCAGCATACAATACTTGAATTTCCATGTTTTGTACAACCCTAGTTATAAGCCTTTAAATTAAAGTCGACTCTTTTAAATCCATTCTGTTATTTAATGTTATTAACCCTAATTTATATATGTAAATTGAATAAATTAAAAAATTCCAGCTAAAAATTAAACGTTTTCACCTGAACTTCCCAAAGGTTCAGAATCCACATCTTGCTCACACCGGGAATATGCCCCAAACCAAAAATCAAACATTCGTTCACGGAATTCATCAAAGCTTTTCTTGGTTTTTTCTAAAAATGCCTCAAAATAATTTTATACAAATTTTATAGCTGACTATTTTTATGAAGAAATTCATAGCCCAATTCAAATACTTCACTATCAGTAATTAAGTTCCAAATTTTGGCAAATTTTCCTTTTCTTTCTTCGTCCATCGGAGGTTCTTGTTCACACACTTGCTCATAAAAATTATTTTCCTTGTACATTTCTAATAGAGCAGCGTATATAGGCTTTTGGAATATAGTAGTTTCATCAACATAAGAGAATAAGCTTAAATATTTGTTTTATTAATCGAGCTTGTTTTTTAGTCCGCGAAATAGGATCCTATTTAGACCCAAAAAATTCGGTTCAACTTGACTTTATGAGTCAAATCATAATTTATGAGTCCAACAAATTTAATAAATCCGAACATGTTTTATTATTCTAAGTACAAATTTGGCACTACTGCAGTCTGTCATTCCAATCACAGTTTATAAGTCAATCAGATTTTTGTGAGCTACAGGGGTAGGTCGTCTAAAATGGAAAAATGAAAATAATCATATTTCAACCTCTCAATAAAAAGGAATAATTAATTGACGTCCAAGTCTAGACTAAAGATTTTCTTGGGTTTTTTCGGTCTTGGTGTTGGGATAATTTGGTTTTTACTTGAATAAACTTACGGAGCAGGCGAAATGTCCTTAACTTGGTCCTTCTTAAGTTTTCCTTGCCAATTAAGGCGAATAGCTTAATAAATTAAAATTTCAAAAAAAATTTGTTTAGATAATATACCAGCTTCGTCAATTCTATCAGCATCATTTTCCCAAAGTTGGTCAACTAATTTTTGAAAAGCTGGATCAGATTTTGGCTTACGTTTTTCCCTTTTCATAATTTTGGTATACCAAATTATCTGTTATTATTAAAATTATAAAACTAAAAATTTAGTTTTATTACGTTAAAATGCCCATCCTTCTTTGTCATTTTAATGCCAATATCAAAAAGGTATCCTCCATCAATTGGAGCTGAACAATGCTAAAATGATAATCTTGCATTATTATTATTAGACATTAATTTAAACAAAGAATTTCAATTAAGGTTAAACATTACTTAATTGAGCCTATGTGATCTATTTTTCAACAATACACCAAAGTGAAGCTCCATTTCAGTATTTAAAGAAATAGCATTTAATTCAACATGTGTTTATTTATAAAACTAAGGTATTTATCTTTAGTGTTAAATATTTACATATTAAAGTTTTGTAAGACATATCCGTTTATTTCCTAACCTATGGTGATCTTTTGGATATAATTGAAAAGTTAATCTTTTGTAATCTTTTATATTTAATGGATTTTCCCAGCCATTTTAATATTTTTATTGTTTATTACTATTTCCTGTGACACATCCCATTCACATGCTTATGTTTATATAATGTTTAATGTTTCTCCAATAAATCAGTTCGCAGTTAATCAGTTTTAATATATTTGCCCCGAAGGGAAAGCACACCGGTGTGGCTTAGTAAAGAGGTATATGCTTGGGTCTGGCCAACCCATAGCTGTCCTTAGGGAATATAATGTATTTGTGTCTAGGTTTGGTTTATAGAATGGTCCCAGCACACTTCCATCTCACTGGTAGCACCGGATCCCGAACTCAAGCTTCGGCGTTCCAGAGACTCTTGGCAATAATTGGAATGCAAAATAACATGGAGAATATGAGCAACCAACAAATGGAAGAACAACATTTAATAAATTGTAAATGAACATGCAATTTGCAGATGGAATGGGCAATATGGAAATATGGCACATGGAACGGGCAATATGGCAAAAATGGAACTTGAACATGGCAAAGCAAGTTTAAAAAAAAATAGGGGAAAAACTGGAACTCGCGCGCTAAAAAAAACTGCTTAGGCAGACAATTAAAGACCATGCATGGCGGATTATAAAAAAAAATGTATCTGGGCAAAATAAATAAATTAATTAAATGGCATAAGACCCCGGGGCGGCATTAAAATTATGGGCAAAATTAAAAAAAAATATATATAAAGGGCAAATTTAAGATGTAAGACCATGGCATTCTATTAAAACTTCGGTGATTATAATTACTATAGATTAAGAAAAGCCCTTAAAATGAAAAAGCCCTTAAGAGATAAAAAGCCCTTAAAAGATAAAAATATAAGAAGACTAATTTAAAAGATATCTGATATAAAATTGAAAGCATATATAGAAACTTAGGGTTAATTTAAGTTAAAAAGTCTTAAAATAAAGAAGAAAAAATTATTATTAGCATATCCTTAGGGAATTCAATTGATATTATAAGTACTTTTAAAGCAAATTAAGAAAAAAAACTGTATGGTTTAGGCATTTAAAAAAATAGAAGGCGAAATTCCGATATTAAAGGTGTAATTTTATTAAATAATTCCTATTGAGAATTTGGCAAAAAAAAAAAGAAAAATAGAACGAAAAAACTTTAAAAAAAAACAGATATTGATTATAAAATGGCAAAGTGATCAATTTTAGAAAGAGCAAGTAATTAATCGAAAAATCCTTAGGGGTAAAATATAAAATAACTTTATTTTATTTAAATTCAAAAATTTCTTTTTCTTGATTCATTTAACCCTTAATCTTTAATAGTTCTATTCACCGGGAAAATACTTTTTAAGGAAAAATTAGTGATAAAATGTATTCGGGAGTATATATTTGTTAAATTTAATTTTCGTTTAGTAATTTTATTTTAGAAAAAGAATACACCTCTTAAAAGATAATACACACTAAAAAATAAATATAGGATAGTATTTAGAAAAATAACTATAAATTTTAAAGCCCATAAATAGAAATAATAAGGTAAGTATAAAAAGTTAAAATAAGGGATTAAAGAAAATATCTTTAGTATATCCTTCGGGAATTAAGTTAATTTTTAAGTTTTGTAAAGCACAATAAGGAAAAAAAGAGAATTGTAAGATGATGTATTTAAAAATAGACGGGAAAATTGCAATATTAAAAGTGTATTTTTTATGAATAATCTTATTAAAAAGTTGGCAAAAGAAATACAAAAATAGAACACATATTGATTATAAAATGGGAAGGTGATCAATTTTAGAAAAAACGTGTAAATAATAAATAAAACCTTTAGGGCTAAAATGAAAATATTTTATTTATAATCAGAAATTATTAGTCACAAATTTTCAGTAGGCACAATTTTTTATATAGTCACAAATATTGCAATTTTAAACTGAATTAATTCAAAAATAATTTTTTTTTGTGTGGTTTATCCTTAAGGAATTCAATCGAATTGCAAATTTTAAAATGATAAAAATAAACAAAAAGTAAATTTAAACTACAATAAGGAAAAAAGAGACTAGTTATTTAAAAATTGTTAGGAAAAGTGCATATTAAAAGTGTTATTTTATGAATAATCTTATTAAAAAGTTGGCAAAAAAAAATAAAGCGCGAAACTAAGAAAGAGTATATTTATCATTTTAGAAGGAGCTAGTAAATAATAGATAAAATCCATTGGAATTCCCATATTTTTGTAAATAAATATTTTAAGAAAACAAGAAAGTAGTTCAAAAAGTGGGTTAAATTGAAAAATTTTAAGAAATTTACCTGGAAAAACAGGAAGTTTATAAAAAAAAAAAGTCATTATTAAAGGTGTAACTTGCGGGAAACAAATTAATTCTTTATAATTTTTCTCTTCTCTTTGTTAAATATTTATTTTTACATCAATGGCAAAATCATAATTTTTGTTTTTATAATTTTCAGACATTTTTTTTATATACTTTCACCTAGGTGTTTTTCAGATAAATTAAGAAAGTTTTCAGATTTAGGGAAACATCCTAATCATCTCAAAAATAAAAGAAATATTAGAACAAAGTTCATTTTCTGAAAATCTATAATTCTTTCTTGCTAACATTAATTTTTACTACAATATTTAATCGGTAGCAAAATTTTCTGAGATATTTATTTTATCCACTTTCAATACTTTCAACTTTACAAAAAGAAGATATTAAAAGTGATTCATAGTTTAAATAATCTCTTTTTATTATTAAGCATTCCTGAGAGAACCTGGACAAGGAATATTACCGAATACATCTTACTTTAAATTATGTAGCTCTTGTTGGGGATTTTTATTAAAAATTAGTTCTTTATTAGTCAAAACCTTAAACTAGACAGTTTTCTATAATTTCTATGTTTCATTTGTATTAATGATTAAAGAATGTTCAGAAAATAGCATAAGCCCCCCCCCTCCACAGAAAGATCACAAATAACGAAAAGTTTTTGAAAAAGTATGTCCAATAAATTTTATTTAATTATTGTAAAAGGTTATTTCTTAATAAATTTTTTTTATTCTACTTTCTGCTTAGGCGAATTCAAGGACTATTTCATAAATTTTTCTTTTATTATCTATCAGTCTATGTACTTTCTTCATTTAAACTCTCGTTAAACAAATTTTATATTCTTTTATGAAATTCAATAGATTTATTTTCTTGAATACTTCAATTCAACCTTGATCAGATATAGAAACTCTACTTAGGTAATAATATGGAAATCAATGTTAAATTTTAAATATTTCGGCATTGAGACCTCCCGAATAATTTTGAGATATTTTTTTATTGTCTGAACTCTAGATATCTTTAAAACCTATAATACTGAATAGAATATTTGTCATAATGATATTTTACGAATATTTTTATTTAAAATTTCACATTCTCAATTACCTTTCAATGTTTGAGAAATAAGCTTAAAAAAAGATTTTATCTCGTATATCTACTGCTTGTTTTTCCGTTGGTTTAAAATCATGTATTGTGAACAAGCGTGATACTTTACTTTATTTTATGAAGAGTTAATTGATTTTTGTTTAAATGTTTCGATTTAACTTTAATCATATTCAAATTATACTTCGGTAATAATTAGGAAAATAATTTTCTCCAAAAAAAGATCTCATTTTTTGGAAGCTCTTAATTAAAAAATGTGCTTTAGTTCTGAAATTCGCTTCAAGGAACTTAGCTAAACCTTAGGGAAAAACGTCTAGATTCAAAATACATTAAACTAGTCTTTTAGTTATCTGTGGCATTTTTTTTTCTGAATGTTACATAAAGATTTAGTGGAATTACTATGAGAGATCAAGAACAATTAATTGTTAGTGGGAAATTAGAAGTCTATTTTGAAATAAATTAGAGTAAGATTCCAGGGCATTCCAGGGCAAATAGCATTGGAAACTAATGGCTAATAGATTAAAATACATATTCTCAGATTTTATCTGTCCGATATCTCTAAATAGTTTATTCT